TGTTAAGATATTAAGTGTGGCAGGAAAATGTTCTGTTTTTTTGATTGACAAGTAAGGAGCACACTGGATCATAATGATCCATTCAGTGATCTCAGGAGGAATCCTACCAGAGAGACAAAACGCCTGACAAAAGCAGCTCTTTAGATAAACCTTTCAAAAGATAGCAGGCCCTGTTAAAATACTTCAGACTTTTCTGATGGCAAGTCATGCAGCTGGTCATGACTTACTATCAGTGCTGTGACCTGTATCTTACTCTTTTCACTCATGCACTTTCCACATGGCAGCGGGCATTGTTCTGCTTGCAAGGTCACTGTCACAGAGTCAGAATGGCAACAAAAATGAAAATACAAGGGTCATAGCAAGTGGCTTCAGGATAGAAACAGCTGCAGGCCTTCACATGGGTTACTGCAGCCTGTACCTTCAAGCACTCATATACACTCATCCCTGGCAATTGTTTGCCTAAGAATGAGCCCATTGGTAGAAATTAATTCGAGGTTTTAATTACCAGTCCTTTAAATTCTCCACTCTATTTTTTTCTGATAGAGCACTTGATTTCAGTCCTTCTTCCTTCTGTGATGCTTCATCCTTTGCTTTTTTTCTGCTTTTTCTTCTGCTCCCAGATGTGCATAGGTGAGGAAAGAGACCACTTTTTCATTATTTGAGTTTCTGTTGGCTGATGAAAGTAACTTTTGTTGCTCCTTCACTTCAGTTTTTCTTGAAGCAAAGAGTCTTTGCTACTCAGAAAGAAAGCAAGAACAATAGCATTAAGCTCATATCCCCTGCCTGAAACAAGTGCGTTTTCATTGTAGTCCTGCCCAGACAAGAAGTTTCCCTGTGAAGTGTGAGACAGATGGGCATGCAAAATTCTGATTCACCATTTTAGGTATCCCACAGTCAGCATGAGAAGAGATACTGAACAGTTAACCTGTGCATCACCTAAGACCCTTATCTGTAAAGTAAAAGGTGTCATATTTCTTTAGTACGTGGCTTTGCATTTTTAATTCTCAGTGGTTTTTCTACTCTTCTAAACTTGCATGTGACTATGTCAGTAGAGAGAAAAGAAATGCTGCTAACTATTTTTCTGCACGTCTTTGCCTCTGTCCTGAGAAAACCAGGTTAATTGGCAAAGGCTAATCAGAAAATCATAAATGCTGTATTCTCTTGTTATTTCCAGGGCCAGGTTTCTTAATGTCAGTACCAAATATTTGTCTCATTGAGATGTTACATCTTGGGTTTGTGCTGAAGTATGAAGATTCAAAATCATACTGATTCTGTTACTGCACAGATGGCATCCTCATTTGGTATGTAAAACTTTTGTAGAGTAACAGTAGGACAGCTTTGAGTCGTGTGACTAAAGCTAACACTGCCTGCTCTCACACCTGGCAAACCGAAAGGCCAAGTGCATTTTATTTGTACAAAGAGATCCATGTACATCATAACAACAACTCATAGGCTTGCCTACAGTATAAATAATAAGAAAATTCATGGAAATAGCTGAGAGCACTGAAATACCTTTTCTGCTCTTTGAGAAAAGGGAAGTCAGGAGGTTGTGTTCATGATACAGCAACTAGAGAAGTTTCATGAGCAAAGCTTTTTGCCTTGATCGTCTTTGGGCTTGCTTGCTGTTAAAATGGTAAATGTGGGTATAGAAATGGGCCAAAAGGGAACTTCCCTTTCCAAAAGGGAACCTAATTCTCTGAAGAGTTTTTCTACACTCAGTAAATAAGGTGAATTAATTTAATGCCATCATTGTAGGACAGCCCAGTGAAATTGAATTAAAACTATGAGAACATTCTCTCTTAGTTACAACAAACCTAGCATTAAAACTACAACCAAATAAATAAAACGTATAACTACGCAAGTTCTTGAAGCCTTAGTCTGAATAATCAGAAACATTACAACAACTAGATGTGAGCCAGAAGCATTGCTGTGAAGTAACTGCATATTTGGCATGAGCTATCTACAGCATCTGTTTGTACCTCAGCAGTGGTTTCTTCTCCCCATACCTCACTATCTCCTTTAAAGCATCTTTCAGTTGAGGTCTTGGTGCGTGTTGGCAGTGCTTTAAGCCATCCCACATGTTAATAGCATTACCAATAATTGCTTGGTACAGTTAAGGTTAACCAAAGATTTTAGGATGTATAGACCATCATACTGACCTGGGGAAGAGAGGGGTGAAGAACTTCTTTCCATGCTGCTAAGAAGTAAACAAAGTTTCTGAGCCCATGATGTTGAGTGCTCATAATTGCCTGGCCCTTCAATGCTATTTATATAAAATTATCATTTAGGGAACACATCTATAAATACCACAGCTCCCTTAGCAAGCACAATGTGAAAATAGAGCCTTGTGCATTTTAAGTTGGCCAAACAAGTATTTTCCAGCTGGTGAAACCTGTGAACATTCCAGCTGACTCTATTGGCATGGAACAACTGCACTGTTTTATTCCCAGATGAGGATTCAGCCCTGAAACATACAGTGACAGAGACTTCCTCAGAAATCCTGGTGTCTGGTAGGGTGGAGTCACGTGTAATTTCAGTTCATTTTTTATTTTTATTTTTTTAATATCAGAGCTAATGGGTGTCTATACCCTTGGGGAATTTTAGCTCAGTCTTCCTGTAGATCACAGCAGCATAGGCTTTTGAATGTAGTGCTAAACAGTTGTTACTTTGTGTGTGTGAACCATGTGCTAAGAAACTGAGGTTAGTTAGCCCTTGTGTGAAGTTGGCTACTCCAAAACAAAAGGTATCTTGCTCCAGAAAACATGTAATTTAGTGAATGGCTTTTTAGCTAGCAAACAAACTGCATGTGATTCATTAAAAAAATGAGCCAGCAATGTGCCCTTGCAGCCCAGAAAGCCAAATGTATCCTGGGGCTGCATCAACAGAAGCATAACCAGCAGAGCGAGGAAGGTGATCCTGCCCCTCTGCTCTGTACTGTTGAGGCTTCGCCTGGCCTACTGCATCCAGATATGGTGTCCTCAGTACACGAGAGACAGACCATCCAGAGAAGGACCACAAAAATGAGCCCAGGGATTGAATCCTTCCCCTATGAGGACAAGCTGAGGGTGCTGGGGCTGTTCAGCCTGGAAGAGAAAAGGCTCTGGGGAGACATGAGAGCGCTCTTATCAGAGGGCTATAAAAAACAAGGGGACAGACTCTTTAGCAAGGTTTGTTGTGGAAGAACAAGGGGAAATGGTTTCAAACTAAGGGAGGAGAGACTGAGTTTGGATACAAGGAAGAAGTTTTTTTACAATCACAGTGGTGAGGCACTGGAACAGTTTGCCCAGAGAGATGGTAGATGCCCCATTCCTGGAGACATTCAAGGTCAGGCTGGACAGGGTTCTGAGTAACCTGGTGTAGCTGTAGGTGTTCCTGTTCACTGCAGGGGAATTGGACCAGTTGGCTTTTAAGGGTCCCATCACACTCAAACAGTTCTATAAGTAAGACTGGGTGCTCTTTAAATACTTTTGCTGAGAAATCAGGAATCCCTCAGAAAATAGACAGTTTCCAAAGAAATAAGCATAGAAAATTTTGGTTTGAATCACTCCTTCATACTTAGTCTTAAATCAGAGATGATGTTTTCTCTGCTACATTTCTAGGACCCATAGTGAAGTAGAAAGCTTAAGGGAAAAGACTGTGGAGCTAGTGATTTTAACCAGGGCTGTGTCCCTCCACACACAATGGAGTTTCTCCTATAACTTTTATGAAAGAAAAAAAAAATGGATGAAAGGACACCTAAAATCTCTGGAGAAACTGTGCTGCAAGGTTTGGATACTGTCAAACAAACACTCACTTTCAAGGAACTTGGGACCAAAAGCTAACCTATATGTCTGTGCAGCTGGCTTTACAACTGTGTAAGCAAAAGATGCTTACTTTCTGGTTGCAGTTCTCAGTTCAGAATTATTTCCACACTGCTCTAGGCGCTGATATGGAAAAACCTGCCTTTTTCAACATGCAGTATTTCAGGAGTGAGTTTTAGCACTCTTGCATTTCATAAATCTGCAACTTAAGCAGGCTCATCTAGGCTGCTAAATTGTTAGTTGCAATTTATTTTACAGTGCAGCGCTCAACACAGTTGTGCTGTCTGTGCTAGAGTCTATAGAACATACTGAAGATAATCAAGTGCTGATATAGTTGTTTCAGTGATTCCCCCTCCCAAAAAACATAAGCTTGGCCTCTTACCTTTACCATGGTATTAGTGCATAGCACAGCAACTTTGTCTAAGGATTTTGCAATGCACGTTCTTGCACCTGGAGCTGAAAACCTGAACTCCTGCTGACCTGCTTGCAGGGCCCTGTGCAGACAAGCGGTGTTTAATTGGTGGTGGTGGTACCATTAATATACTTCATTTAGGATACTGAAGACCAAACATGTTCCTCAATCCAGGCCTTATTTTCAGCACTGTGTTCTTTCTCCTGAGCATCACTGGGTCTTTTAGTGAAACAGAAGGGAGTGCAACCACTCCCTTCCCCTTCTTTTGGCTAAGTTTTACAGATAGCAAGAGCTCAGCAGCACAAGGACTGTTTTGACTTTGTGTTTGTCTGGTGTCCATTGCAACAAAGCTCTGGCCTGTCATTTGGTGCCTGAGCACTATTTGTACAAATAAAGTGGCCTGCTGAGCTGCTGTGTTAGTAACCAGCTTGAGCTGCCATACCTCACTCCTCCCTGTGCTTTAAAGGGGACTGAGGCCATCACAGGCAGAGGGCAGTAAGAGCTGATCCTCCCATTGCTGAAAGAATCACAGAGCCCCAGCAGCCTAAACTGACAGCACACCCACAGCCCTGCAGCCAAAATGACCTTTTTGCTGCAGCTTTCAGTGATTTCAGCATCACATTTATATCTGCCAAATTCAGGAGGTGACATGGTGACAACTAAAGATTAGAGCGGCCTTCTGTGTTTCCAAGAAAAAAAATTGGAGAAATATGATAAAATAAGCAAAGGACATTTCTTCTGCCTTCTGCCTGTTTCTAGGAAATGTGCTGATTGTTAGATTAAAAAAAAAAAAAATGATTGATGCTTATTATCATTGCAACTCTGAGGGTGAGAAGCGTACACTAGAATATCCCAAGGGAATTGTGAAAGCCTCAGCAAACTGGCAGAGAACAAAAAACTAATTCCATAGTCTCTTTGGATGAGGTTGCATCATTGATCTTTTCTACCACAAAACTTCTGGCAAGGGATTTACTTTGTATATGTACAAAACGTTTTTGGTGTTGGTATTACCTGTCTCATTTCCTGCTGTGATGTTACGTCTTCTTGGCTCATGGAGACTTCTGAAGTTCTGTGAGTAATTAGGAGGTTAAACCAAAGAGCGGGATTACATTTAGATGTTTGCTGTTCTCTCCAGAAAACATACCCATTCTACCCTCCTCCTGAGCCAGCAGATTTTCCATGTGACCAGCAGTGGTTGTGAGGCTGATGAATCCCACAAGGTTGTACTGATGGTATCACAGGGACATCCTGATAGGCCCTGAGGGAAAAGCAAGGTTTAAAAATCAAAGTCCTGACTATCTTCTGGGATCATGAGAATCCTCACTTCTATATGTACTTCTGCACAGTGGCCAGAATGATCTTTTGGCCCTTATTTTCTCAAATTTGAATACTTTCTGTAGTGTTTGCCTGCAGAAACTCACCTAAGTTTGGTGTGTTTTCATTCATACAGATGGTGCATGCTTCAGGGAAAACAGAACTGCTTTGCATCTTGGCTTACGGGTAAGTGATACTGATTTAGGAGATCAGCAGTTGGCATGAGAGGTTGCATTTAGCCCTGGAAGTTTTGCTGTTTCCTCAGGAGTGGCTGGAGCATTGGACAGGAGCATTGCTAACAGGCACAGAGTAAACTTCACTGATAAGGCTTGACTAGTAATCCTATGCACACCCCGCCCCAATGTCTGACATGACAGTAGGCACAAGCTCCTATCTGTTAATATCTGTGAGACAGGGCTCCTGATCCTGCAGCACAACTGCTTTGCTGATTGTGGCCCACAATGTCTTCTGCTGCACAGACTGGTGTTCAGACTTGTTCTGCTTCTGTGATTCTCCCTTAGATATCCCAAAATAAGACACTATGTAAAGACAGTTCTTTGAGATGGAGGGCATGACATATTCTTGGGGAAATAAATAAAACAGCCTGAGCACTTAACAGGACAATGGAGTTAGAATTACCAGCCCCAGAACAGAATTCAAACTCAAATGGGAATTTCTATCTGGAAAACCAAACCCACAAAACCAGATTTGTCAGTGCATCTGTGCTTGTCCAGCAAACGAGCTGCCATATTTTGCCACTAAAAATGTGTGAGAAAGCGCTGCCCATTCTGGCACAAGGCTTTGTTGAAGAACACCTGTGCTCTGCCCTCTGTACTTTATTACAGAGCATTTGCATTTTATTTGCATTGGTGTTTGGGCTTCCACTAGCTTTAATTATATATGGAAAAGTCTAATTCTGCTGCATATACCTCCCTGTGGACTAATTAGGTGAGTGATTGTGGAAAGCCATTAGAGAGGTTGCATCTATTATTAAGAATTTCATTTTAGAAATGGACCAATTATCTGAATTACCTCTCAGGACCTTCCCTGAACATTTGTTCATGAGCCAAACAGTGCTTTGCCACAGCTGGTAACAGTTTTTCCAATTAGCTGAATGAAGAAGGAAAAGCTTCCTTACCTGCGCAAAGCCAGCAGCAAGCTGACTCATGACAGTAGTAGAGGTGAACACAAAACACCATTTTGCATCTTACAGAATCTCTGTCCCCTTGCAAACTTCTCTTGACTTTCCCAACTTTGGTACAGAGCAACAATCCAGCAGGAGCTGCACTGTGCCCCCAGGAGACTTTTCCTGCTCATTTGTGAATTCTTCCTTCCTCTTTTGAAATGTGATAAAGCACTGGCTTATCTTAAAATCATTTCTCCCACCATGGTCTCAGTTTCCTCTATAGAGTTTTGCAAGAAATCAGCTTTTTCAGCATTAGCCTGGCCAGCACAGTTCTTGCTCCCCAAAGACCTGGGCTAGGGCTTGGCGCTGCCTCAAAAGAAATTCCAGTAGCTATTTGTAAGCCATATAGGTGTGCCTCATGCAGGCTGCAGTCGAGATCCATGTGATAGGTGGAAACATTTTAATTAAGTGGTATAATCTCTCCCACCAGATAAAGAAGAGCTCAGATAACTTCTCCAGCAGGAGGAATGCACGTGACCCTGACACATGATCTGATCTCATCAAGCTGCTACACAGCAACCAGTGTCAACACGTTGCCCAGGACAACAGGTACAGCAGGAGCTATTGGACAGAATACCTCCACCTCTGACGCCAGAAATGTTTGAGCTGCAGATTGTGGCCAAGTGGGAAATTACATCAGCTAATCCTATCACCAAATGTTTATGCTCTGCCCACATTTGCCAGCCTAAAGGTTAGAAAGAGCCTCACATGCCTGAGGATGCTTTAATGTCCCCATTACTGTGTTCATGTGCCCACAGTGACAGCACTGATGTTGACAAAGATGCTGAACTGCAGTATTTAGATGCTGAGAAGTTTCTCGCACTGGTCAGTGTTCTTCTTGCAGCAGAGTCTCCTGTCCTGCCCTAGTCACTTACAGCCCTGTGTTATTGCCATGTTTATCCAGGATAATTAGGTATTATGTACTGTTCTCCATTCTGCACTGTTGCAAGGCTGCTCACAGTTACCTGGGAAATTTCAATCTACCAGTTGTTTTTTTTTTCATAGAAGAACAACAGGTTGCACCACATCAGCAACAAGCTCTGAGCCATCTCCCAAAGAAAATGTCACAGCCCCCAGGAGACTATCTGGCTGGGAAAAAACAAAAATAATCAGGAGATAAATATCAGGAAAGCCCAAAACCCCTACACCACCTGGGGAAAATGAAATCTTGGCAGGCAATGGCCCCCAAACCCACAGGCTGTATCCTAGCCCTGCTGCAGGATGCCTGACAAGGACGCCTTGCACAAGGCAACCTCACTCATGACAACAAAGCTGCTGCAGCCGTCACTGCTTACGCAGGGGCCATCAGAGCCGTAACAGGAACTCCAGTGCCTCCAGGCAGCCTCCTCCCTTCAAGTGGGGCAAGGTAAGTGGCAAGCGCTCTGAGACCAGGGCTAAGCCTGGCTCAGGCTTTTAAGGGGAAAAGAAAAAGAAGAATTGATTCTATTAAAAGAAGCAGCAAAAAAGAAACCACACTTTTTTATTAAAACTGGTTGATTTCTGAGAAACCATGGGATGGTCAGTACATCCAGTAACAGCACTGGGCCTGCTGGCAGCTTGCTTTTCCACAAAATGACTTATCAGGGTGTATGCAAGCTGAGAAGATTTACTTGGCCTGCAAAACACCCCTGAGATATTAGTGTTCAACCCTTTGCCAAAGAGAGCAGAAAACACATTTTCTGCTTTGAGTTGGAGTGTTAGTTTCTTTTTTTTTTTTTTCGCTTGTACAAACATGGAGAAATTTTGTTGTACAGCAGCTACAAGAGCAGCTCTTGTGGATGGGCCATGTGGGGAGGTGAATGCATAGTCACTAATTCTGGGGCATGAGGTGGCCTAGTGAGCCCCAGCAGTGGTGGTACCCAGCTTGACACTGCATAAGCTTTGCATTGCCTTCTGGGGCTTCTCCCTCCCCCAGGGCTGTCTTTTACCCCATTTTGAGTCTCTCTTCTTGCTCCCTTGGTGCCATGATGGCAGCAGAGGACATGAGACAGCTTTTCCTCCTGCAGTTTTGTCTCAGTGGCTTTATAGCCAACTTCAAAAGGTTTGAAAGAAAAAGCAAAATCACTGTTTTTGTTTTTTAAATCTTTGCTGCTCAAAGCAGTCCTTATTCATCACTAAAATATCTGCATGCTCATGTCTGCATGGCAAACAGTATACCTCCTGCAGCATGTTTCAGCAAGATGACTTGCAAAGTCAGAGAGCTAGTGTAGTTTGTATATCAAAGATAGGGGAAAAAAAAACAACTACTTGTGCAAGGTAGACACCTTCCTTTACTCTTGAACTGTCACCTTTGAAAGAAATTCCTGGTACTCATCATGCCGATACACATCTCAGTGCAACAGGGGCACTTCTGAGCAACACCTAAAACTCACCAGGAAATGATTCTGTAAACCACACTGATCACGATGAATATAATTCCTAGCATGGGGCTTTCTTACACACCCATCGACTCAAAAAGTAGAGCTGCCCAACAGGGCTATCTGCATCGTTATGACTGTAGGTAGAGAACTTATCAGGTGTGGAGGAGCAGGCACCATCCTAATCTGAAATTGCTCATTTGCTTGATAAGTTAAGCAATCTCTAACTATAGAAGAGCTATTCACACTAATTACACTGCTGATGTGGAAATAATTAAGCAGCAGTTCATTGCAGGTGCAGTATCCTGATAGGAATAACATTACTAACAGGGGAAGAGCAGAGGTGCAGTAGGAAAAGTGTGCCATTAAGTTAGTGAAGGTGCTGAAAAAACCTCACCAGGCTGATGGGCTACAGAAAACCACTATGGCCGGATTTCCATGATAGGAGTACTCAAGACCACTGCTGGGCACACTGTGGGATACTGGCCTGATGCTTGGCCATAAGCAAGCACCTGGGGAAAGTAAGCAAATCTGCACCAACTCCAGGTGGTTGCTAGAGGCAGGTAAGCTGCTGGGAACTGGGTGTTTGGGAGTGGTACTAAACAAAAAAGTATGTGAGATTTAAGTTTTTAATGGTTGTAGTTTAAGTGAAGCTCAGGCTCCTGCAAAGAAGAAGCATAAGCATCAGTTAGTTAATCCAATAAATGGAAGAGTATTTTTTTCTTATGGAAGAAATTTTTTACTGTGAGAGTGGTGAGACACTGGAACAGGTTGCCCGGTGAGGCTCTGAATGCCCCTTCTCTGGAAGCATTCAAGGCCAGGCTGGATGGGGCTTTGAGCAACCTGGTCTACAGGGAGGTGTCCCTTCCTCTAGCAGGGGATTGGAACAAAGTGATCTTAAAGGTCCCTTCCAACCCAAACCATTCTATGATTCTTAAAAATGGGGGCTGGGGGAACCATTTTTTAATTTCCCTGCTAGGTACATAAGTTGTGGGGAAAATAAGCTTTGCTCAGTTTGCACATTAGTCATCAGAAATGTTAGTGGTGCTTTTCCCACCACTCCAGTTGAAGGCTCATCCCTTCATACACTGCTGCTTTAGTAGATTAAAATGTAGTCATCAATGCTGGCTTGTACATGAACCTTAATAGTCAGAGATCAGGCTGAGAACTATCATTGCTGATTTTTGTTGAACAACTTAAAATATTAGATCCATAGAAGTTTTAAGAAAAGGCTATGGTGGCTTTATCTGCTCCCCGTGTTGCTAACTCTGAGAACCACTGTGCTTTTTGCTTTGCTAATGACTAATTTTTCTAGCGCTTAAGGCTGGAATTTGCTCTTCAGGCCAACCACATCCTTGCTCTAGTGCCACTGACTTCAAGTGATAAAACAGCAAATAACTGGGCTCACAATTCTTTCAAATTTTTATTCTTTTTATGTATTGTGTACAGTGCTTGTCTAAAAGGAGCAGCGAATATTTTGCTTTCCACAATTTGTCTACAAAATCCTCACAAAGAAGGGTTCATCAGTGATTTCTGACAGGCTGGCAAGAGGTGGAGACGGTTTATGGAGGAGGAGATCAACTCAAAGCCACCCAACTCCCACCAGGGAGTTCAGCAGGAGCAAGTAAATCATTGCCCCGGGCAGTAATTCTATAGCCTGCATGGGAAGTGGCTGACTGTGCCAGAGTCCTGAGGTACCTGGACTGAGGTATGTTCACAAAGTGCTTTAGTGATGGAATTAGAACAACTCTGGACAATGCACAGCTTTTGGTCCCAGTTTGTTAAAAGGAAAGAGCTTGATTGATGTCTGAACCAAGACTGCCAGATAAGGTATGTTACAACAGCAGAGAGAGAAAAAGAGACTTGTAGCTTGTCTAAGCATCATCACTGTGTAAACGAGGTGCTCCTTACTGAACAAGTTAGCTTAAAACACATAGATATTTGTGTTCTAAGGGCAACACCTCTTTTTGTGGCAGAAATAGATTACATTTCTATGGGAGTCAGTGCTGCTTCACAGTTTCAAACCACTGGGATGGCTGCTTAATTCAGATAGCTCCTCATACAGAGAGGGAACCAAATTGGATGTTTCTGTACCATTTCCATGTAAGACATAAGACTTGCCATACCAGTCATTGCAATCCTAATACCCCAACCGCTTTACTAAAAATATACAGAATAACTTAGTACTCTCCCAGCCGTGTTAAACACCGGAGCCAAGAAGATGGCGCGACAGAAGCAGCCCCACTGGGGCACTACAGGAGAGTGGCCTTGCTGGTAAGGCTGCAAGAAGAAAATGGCGATACAAAAGGTACTGGGTAAGACTACCACTGACGTTCATTTAACCGATGGGGTATTTTGTGCTCCCTACCCCTATAGTTCTTTCCTGGCAGACCAATAGCGTCCCTGCAGTGTAGATGGCCCTGCAATATGTGAGCAGTGTACTCTAAGCTGCTTTAGCCAAAAGGCATTACGTAAGTTAACCTGTGCAAGCTGTTTTCTATAAAAGGAGCAAGTGGTATTTTTAGCAGGCTTTATGTAGTTGCTTGGCAAGGGGAAGAAACAGGAGATGCCTCAGCACCTGGAAAGGAGCCTGCCAGACCAAGCCCCTGACCCCATCACAGTGACTACGATCGCTGGGTTTGGGATGTGAGGGGGCACATCCCTGTTACTGGACCTGTTCACAACAGTCTTTCCTAACGCCAGTTTTTATTCAGCTTCCTGTGCCACTGAGTCTAGGGCTTTTTCTGCATCCCTAACTGGCCTTCAGCAGGGTCAGAGGGGCTCCCTGTGCTGTTAGAGACATCCTGGGGAGATCCTACCTCCATCAGCACCTTGCTGACCATGCTTTGCACACACCTCCTAGTAAGGAAGAACAGCTCCCCGATATGCACAAAAAAAAAAAAAAAAAAACACACGGGGGAAAAAAAACAATCTAGTGGCTGGGATTTGTAGCTGTCTTCCTTTTTGTTACTACCTCATGTGCACTTACCTATTTTTCCCTATTTTCATAACAGGAACATGCTGATTCCTGCAGAGAATGGTCATCTGGGTAAGTGCAAATTTAAAAAAGCTAAGACTCTATGAAGTATGTGTGAACCTCTGTGAAGGGTGTGTGAAATTGATAGCTGCCCTGGTTTGCTGATTCCCATCCACTACCAGCAGTCTCTGCTGAGAAGTGAGGCTCCTCCCAAGAGAAGACAAAAATCTCAGTTTCAGATGGACATGGGTCTGTTCAACTTTCATTTCTGAACAAAGTTATATTTCGTTCCCCAAAAAGCTTCAGTAAATTATTTCAAGTGAGTACATCTGTTGTTAACTCACTCTTACAGAGCCATATATGCCAAATCTCTTTGTGTTTATAAAGGCTGGTCCAGTGTTTCTCTACATGAAGTGATGGGACCTTTTTGAATAGCCTCTCCATCCAGAGACCTGCCAGACATTTGGCCTTAGCAATGGTAACAATGACAATGGTGATCTAGGAATCTTCATTCAGTCAAATCAAATGGATACATAAAAATTAAAACCAAAAAATACACAACTCTCCAATAAATGCATAAAGTTACTTTATTTTCAGTATACATTTAATTTTGAAAAATATAAATGCTAAAATATCTCATCATCTTCATCTTTTGATTCCATAAAAGTCACAATAGAAAGCTTCATAAAACTGTAAAATACTATGTTATAAGGAATTTCATGTTTTATATTAGTGGAAAAAATTTTAATATATTGAAATGTTTTCTGCTTTTTTCGTTTTTGTTCCACCATCTTGATCCACTTCATTTTACATTAATTCTTTATTCTTTCCTCCAAAGCAAATACAGACTTAAGAGAATTAAAAATAATAAAAGTATTTGAAAGTGCGTATTGATTCCAAGAAAAAAAAAAAAGTAATGCATACAAATATATGTCAACCTTGATGACAAATAATTAGTGGCTACAGAGGCAGACAGACACCATTTTCATGGGCCTGGGACAAAGCTATCTGCAGTTTGTTTTCACTGGGCGATGGCAGGATTTTTGCCCTCAGCTGGTACCTTTTTTTGTAGGACTTGTAAGAGAAACTGTTTGGGGAAGTTTTTTGTGTTTTGTTTTTTTTTTTTAATGGACTCTTCTGATTTCCAAAGTGCTTATCTAGGCTTTTCTCACCAAATGTCCAATTCTGAACCAAAATTAGTTTTAGTTTTGTTGTCACAAGGCTTACAAAGTGCAGTGAAACTCACGTTTTGGTGACATCAGCCTATCAAATGTTATTAGGCAGCTGCTTTTCACTGCCTTCCATCTCTCAGTGCCAGCAGAGCTCTTGCTTGCTGTCCTTGTGGTTAATTTTTTTAAAGGAAAAAAATAGAAAGGAGACACAACCTTCCACAAAATGCGGTTGTCAGGAAGCAGGAAATGAAACTTTCCAGCTTCTGTCTCTATCCAGAGTTGCTTTTGACATGGAGAACTACAGCAGTCTTTGTCCCATCCCTTAAACAATGCTACCCTCTGTACAACTGCTCCTCTGTTAACGTAAAAAATTAAAAAAGAGAGAGAAAGATCTAGATCAGCAGTCAATACATTTCAAGTACATTTAACATGGTTCAAAAGTGGAAGACCTCATTTTTGTGAAGACAAATCACCAGGTAATAGCAGATGAAAGGATGCATGATGTGTGTGTGCGTATATGCATGTGTGCAGTATGCTGCATTCTGAGCATACTGTAGGTGGGGGGAGGGCTCTTTTGTCAGTGCTCTCTTAAGGAAATCTTTTTCTCTGTATTAATCTATGCTGATCTTTCCTTATTTGGATTTCTACAAATAAAGTGTCTGGGCAAAACATAAAAGCTCAAATGTACTGTGTACATGATGACACTTGAGCCTGTTTCCCCTTTGGTAGTCTGCAACTTACTTTCACCAAGGAATTAAAACAGTTTTTTATGTGTTAGCATTGCACTTCCCAGGTTCTCTGTCCTCCAGCTACTCCTAGCAGGCAGCAGAAGGGCTCACACAGTGGCTGCTTTTCTGGCTGCTTCAGATAGCTCCTCATCCTTTTTGAAGCAGGTTTGGGCTGCATTTATGGGATGCTGATAAAGAGGAACAGCTGCTCTCCCTTCTTGCACTGCTTCTCACAGTAAACAAAAATGTTAGGTAAGCAGAAATTTAGATTCCTTGGTAACAAGCTGGGGAATGTACGTGTGTGTGCATGTGTGTGTGCTGTGCCAATTCCTCTGCAACTCAATCCTCTTTGTGCAGCAATGAGCACTTGCACAAGACTGTGCAAATAATATAAAAATAATATAAAAACCATAATATTATTACAGTCCATATAATTGCATCTTTTTTTTTTTTTCCAGATACTAGTTCTGGTTAAGAGTCCTAGTTTGCAGCTCTGATTGTTGATGTGGTTGTTACTAGCTTGTGGATGCTAAAATTTGGCATATAAGGTCTCTCAGCACCATGATGAAATCCTATTTCCTTAATCAACATGGACTTTGGTTTCTTCACAAGAGGTGTGGAAGCCACTAAGCTCTACTTTTTTATTCAGTATCTTTGCTACGTTAGGAAAAAAAAAAATGAAACAAAGCCACATGTTAGGCATTACAAAACAGTTTCTGCAAGTGCATTTTTTAATGCCCGGCACTGGGGGCTATTAGGGACTGTCCCCCCTCTCCTGCTGCTGGGCAGCCGCTCTCACTGCTGCTTCAGTCCCTGGTATGCTTCACTGCAGGGAGCTTCATTTTTAAAGCGAAGCCTTTGCAGTGTGTTATATGAAATCCTCACACTTGAAATAAATGTGCTGGGGAAGGACAGTTTCCCAAATGCTATTTTATATGTGCACACTCAAGTTCACTGTATACCCACAGCAGAGAAAATGATCTGTCACAAGGCAATGCTTGCTGGGTTTAAAACCAAAAACCTGTGTCACTGTGCCTAGCTGATTTGCTACTGCTATGTCATCGTGTATGGAAGGTTTGGTTTACCTGGCAGAGTGCCGAGCAGTCAAGGTGTAAGAATAAACTCTGTACGTGACAGAAAGCAGTGCCTGCGCACTGTCAGTTCTTGAGGAGGATCCAGATCTTGTGTCTCAACTGCACGCAGGGCGTTTCCACTTGCACACATACACACACGTGCACACACGGATGTTTCACATGAAAGAATTCTAACAATACTGCATAGGAAATCAACATAATGAATACAATCAGCATCGTCCACTGACACTGTTAACCAGTCAGTATTTCACTTACCAACAGTACACTTAAGACTTCCTAGATCATGAGAGATTTAAGTCATATCCCATCTCCTTCATAGTGAAGTTAGATTATTCATAAAAAACATAATAATCCTAAGTAAAACAGAAGCTTTAGAGTAGAAGGTGTTAATAAAACTGATCCAGCCCTATGCCATGTCCTGGAGATTGTGTACTTTTTTTTTTCTTTTTTGTAAAAATCACATTATATATGGTACAATACATTTTTACAGAAAGCCTGGCATCTAGAAATAAGAGGTAGAACTACTCAAAACTATATGTTTCCTGCTGCAGGAAAAATTCATTTTTCTTTACAGTAATTAAAAAAAGGTTAAAAAAATTGACAAAAAAAAAGTCATAGGTTAGGCCCCCATAATTTAAACAAAATAATCTAGGAAAATAACACTCTTCAATGTACCTGACGGATTAAGTCCATTAAAGTGTTTTTAAAAAAAAAAATTGCATAGGAAAGGGACATTTCAAAACACATGCTACAACGATGGCAATAGTTTGTCTGTGCTGGGAGTGAAGTACCTTTTAGTTTTCCTTCCTGTGTTACTACAAGTACAGGCTTTAAGAGCAAGTTAGTATTAGCAGCACTTTCCAGCATCTTAGAGCAGTGTAATAAAGACATTGAATTAGCCTGGAGGTCAGTTTTGTTCTGCCAGACAACAAACAAACAAACAAACACTGATTCACAACTAAAGTAATGCCAGTTCCCCTGACATTTCACAAAAGTATTATATTATATCCTTAATACTTCTGCCCTCTGCTTGCAAATGAGATGCGTGTATGTCTAAGCAACAGAGAAGGCAAAAATGAATCTTGGTCAAAGTGGAAAAATTGGGTGAGGATAAATAAGAGGAAATCTAAAGGGGGATAAGGATGGAGCGGGGAGCGCAGAATGTCTCATTTACCTATGCAGGTGGGGAGCAGAGAGCATTGTAATATTTGGCTAGTGACAAAATAAATTCCATATAAGACTTAACAGACAGACAAATTACAAAGTAGTTTCTGTTCCCTTGCTCCTCCAGAAATAACCATTGTCTTCAGGCTCAAGTTCTATTCTAATTTGAGGCACAACTTTTACTGGAGTTCGTGGAGGGCTGCGAAGAAAAAGAAGGAAGGTAGGTAAGTGTACGGACTGACGTCCATTTTAGTAATGCTTGATGCGCTCTGCAGCGCTCAGCTGAATTCTGAAGAGTACATTTTCTGAGGGATCAGTTCCTGAAAAACTGTACAACTCCAAGAAAAAAAATATATTTGTAAACAGAGTGGCAGCTGATTCACACCTCAAAAATGCAGGTCCTAGTACTTAGTGGGCACAGCATGGTGTTACATCTAGAAATGGAAAAAATGCTCAACTCCCAGTACCAAGTGTATCAGCACAGACCAGTACAATACAGCTTTCTGAAACTGGCAGTTTACAGATACTAAATAAATAACTCAGTTGGGCACTGGTAATATAAAGCTCTCCTTGGCACCAGAACTTATTGATAGGCCTGTGCATCAAGTAATATTATTTTAATGAATTGTTCCAAACAAACACTGCTCATGTCAGGGAGTAAGCCTACAGATTTTGTTAACAGAGGAGCTCCACATATCCAGCAGTTGCGCTTCACACAGCTAACTGCCTGGATAAGTTTATATATTTTTAAGTCATTTAATTTTTTTCCCTGTAGACACGTTTTTCTGGACTTTTCCCAGTTGTTCCACAACTTTTTGCTAATTTGGACCCCAAAACAGGCATGAGTACTGCAGCTGGGGTCTAACATAAGGCCAGCAGAATACTTAGGCAAGCTTGTCACTCTCTCCACACCGTAAGGCCATGCTGGGAATTAAGTTAGGATGTAACTCTCAAAGTGTTTTCTAAAGGGTTTCCTGTAGGCAGATAGGGACTTCGCCTTGTAGAATTTCAGTACACTGTGGCACATACAAATTGCATTTTACAAGTACTTACCTTGGCATAGTGTGTGACTGAAGAAAAGGAATTTTATCAGCACGATGTATGGCGTTCAAGGAATGTTGGTGATTTTTCTTCTGTCAGGGGGGAGAGAAAAGATCTTTTTTGTCATTGCATGCAGCACTGATAGTTTCTTAAGCCCAGCAAACATTCACATGTATTTAGCAGTGCTTTTAACTGCTGACTTCCTGCTATATGAATTTCACAGCTTGTAAATGAAAATAATAAAGTTAAGTCTCTCCTCCAAGATACAGAACCTGAACTGCCCAAACAACTGTGATTTATTTGCAGGGACTGCCTTGTGAGCTGCATTCAGCTGAATGACTTTGCACATGCAGACACACAACTGCATAAGCAGTTGTACAGCCACGAGCAGTCACTTAGCTGCCACAAAAGAGGCCGCTAAGCTTCTCCAAGTAAACAGCCCGTGGGAAAACTCACTTTGTATTCACCTGCACTGCACTGCAGCCTAGCAAAGGGTGTCCACCTCAAGTACGCTTCCCGGGGGGAAGCCATGAGACACTGCAAAGCTGGTCTTAGCCCAGCGTGAGGCAGGAGCATTTCTGTGTCTGTTTGGTGCTTAGAGTTGCCTGACAAAAAGGAGTTGGGAATCCCTCAATCAGGGTTTGGGCACACAAAGCTTAGTTGGGAAATTCCCAAATTCCATCTCAGAAAAATTACTCTGTTTTTTGGCCTCCTTTCAGCATATTTACATCTTGATACTTACCTTTCATCTACAACTTTAGTTACCCTGTGTTCCTCACTGTAGCATCCGAACTCCTTGCATGAAAACAGGTGGCTTGTTGCCTGTAATCACATTCATTTCCTGACCAGCGTGGTGAAATGTAGTCTTTTTTAATAATAATTCTATTCTTGCTCTAGCTGAAGGGAAGCTAAAGGGTAAAAAATGAATTCTGTGTTTGGACTGAGAAACAGCTGGAATTCACTTCTCTGCCTTAGTAGTTGAAGGGTAAAATTGTTTGTCAAGCACTCTGAATTTGCAAAATATGCACAAGTAGTGAATGCTATTAGTATTATTATTAATACACTTTGAGTCTCGGAGCACTGGGTGAGTAGGGTGAGACCATGGTGTGGATGGATTCCAGCTACTTTTTTTTTTTTTTTGCATTGTTACTAAATAAAAGCTGCCAAATCAATTTCAGAATCATAATACTGTACATATACACAAACTGCTGCTTGGCCTACGGTCGTCTTATCCCATGTTGTCTGAAAGGGCATTTCAACAACCATTTTGTGGCAGAAGTACTACCATTCCCCTAATTATTTCAGCCCTGATGAACAGTGTACCCAATTGTAAGATCCTGTGCAACAACATTTAAGATGAACTTGGTTTAAGCATATCAGGGCATTTTCACAGAAAAATGAAGATGATCTATTAGGTTCAAGGTTGATACACTGAGAGTATACAATTACTAATTGTCTTTCTCTTTGGCTTTGTTTTAGAATGTTAATCTCTCAAGTGTTTGTTTATCTAAAAACACAATGCAATGCCTAGGGTTGCCAAATGCCACCACCAAAAGCCAAGATAGTTAGGGACCAGCTCCTAAACACAAATCCTACTTAAGGAATCTAAAGATCGGTGTTTCCAGGTCTTATTCCTAGAAATCTTATCACCAGTAATGCAGCAGTACTGATTCACTGTTATCATTTGTGCTTCTTTGTTCCCATCTCACAACAAAACAGCATATTTATCTCAAGACTGAACCCATTGCTCATCATATTGTCAGAAGTTGCTGTTGCCAAAAGAGCTCATGTCAGTTGTTATTTCTGATTCCTCTCTTAAAAAACTATAATATGAGAAGTGAAAGTGACTGAAAATGAAAGCATAGTCTAGTTGGAGACCGGTAGCTAGCAGTGTTCCAAGCACCACTTACGGCATCTGGTATTGTTCAACATCTTCATCAGTGACCTGGATGAAGGGATAGAGTCCACAGCAAGTTTGTTGATGATGCAGTATTGGGAGAAGTGGCTGACAGACCAGATGGCTGTCTTTCAGAGAGACCTGGGTGGGCTGGGGAGTTGGGTAGAGATGAACCTGATGAGGATTCAGCAAGGGCAAGCATACAGTCCTACGCATGGAGAGGAATACCCATATGCACCAGTACAGGTTAGGGGCTGAACTGATGGAAAGGATTACAGGTTGACCATGAACCAGGAGTGTGCCCTTGTGGCCAAGAAGGCCAATGGGATCCTGGGGTGCATTAAACAAATCATGGCCAGCATGTCAACAGAGGTTCTCCTCCCCCTCTAGTCTGCCCTGGTAAGGCCACATCTGGAGTACTGTGTCCAGTTCTGGGCTCCCCAGTTCAAGAAAGACAGGGAACTCCTAGAGAGTGTCCAGCGGAGGGCCACAAAGATGACTGGGGGCCTGGAGCATCTCCCTATGAGAAAAGTCTGAGAGACTTCAGACTTTTCAGTCTGGAGGAGACTGAGAGGAAGATCTTATCAATGCTTAGATATCTCTGAAGGGCAGGTGTCAAAAGAATGGGGCCAAGCTGTTTTTGGTGGTGCCCAATGACAGAACTAGGGGCAACAGGCAAAAACTAGAATACAGGAATTTCCATTGAAACATGAGAAAGAAATTCTTTACTTTGAGTATGACATAGCACTGGAACAGGGTGCCCAGAGAGGCTGTGGTTCCTTCTCTGGAGATATTCAAAACCCTCCTGGAAGCTCTCTTGTACAACCTACTGTAAGGGAACATGTTATTGTAGGGAGTTCAGACAGGATGATCCCAACCCCTACAATTTCTTGATTCCATGATATTAACCTAAGAAATTAAAAAGACACAATAGCACAAAAGCAAGTCACCTAAGAAGGGAAATGTGTTAAAAGGTCAAATGATCACTGCCTTGTCAGTGTAATGAATAATGTGAATCAATGACATGCTTAATTATTATTTTAAAGTGCTGAGTTTTGCAACTGCTTGGAACCTACGGAAATAAACAGTAACAGGACAGAGATGCAGTTTAGACATGCTGCAAATCCAGAGCAATAGACTCCGAAAAAATAAATGCAAACCATCAGCAAATTTAACATGAAATGGCAAAGTGGATGGGGATGTTACAGAGAGGAGGAGAAAGGAAGTTATCACGAAACATAGCTGGACAAAAGCAGTTTAAGCTGGAGGCACCAAAAGAAATAACACAGATTTTGGAAAGAAAAAATAATACATAAAAACAAAGCCAAATACTGTCATAAATCAGAGACCTGGAAATTAAAAACAAACAAAAACCCCATGCTTCTGAAATAATAGAAAAGCTTTAAAAAGAATTAATTTATATATATACTTTGTACTGCACGTCAGAGTCACGCAGGCATGCAAGAGGTTAGTTCTACTCACTGTCGGCAGGTTTGCTATCACTTAGGAAAGGTTCCTGCTCCATGATGTCCATTGGTATTTTAATACTTGGGACTTTTTCTGAGTAGGGGCAGTCAGACTGTGAAAGAAACGTGTAAAAGTTCTTAGAAAATTTCCACTGCTCTCTTACTGTCACCCATAAATTAATATCATCCTTCACATAATTTACGTAGAAATTAGGAGAAAAATAAAAGAAAAAGAAGGAATTCTGTAGCCCAGCTGATGGGCTTTTAATTTTAAACTGGATTCCTCTTGCAACTCACTTTCCCTCTTTCCTCACGCTATGGAAGTAAAGCAGACTGAAAGAATAATCTCATCTAAGCAAGCGTTATCTTTTCTCTTCACCTCACCAGTTCCTATGCTACCAGTCTGTAAGACACAATCTGAGTCAGCCTGTGGTTGACTACAGGAAATAAAAATGGATTAAACATGCATTTGTTGGCAGAAATGATAGGGTACTGGCTTCTGAGAAATCTCACCAAAAAGTTTTATCCTACTGCGATTCCTGTAAATTATAGCAGGACAATCTCTCTATTTTTTTCTCCTTCCAAACCGCTCTACAAGGAAGTGTCAGGCAGACAATCTTTAACTTCCATTGTTTCAACTCCTTTTTCTATTTATTACTTAAATAAAGTCAGACCTAGTCCCAGTTATACCTCTGCTTACAGTATCTCATCAAATCGAGGGTTCTTTTGAGAATTCATGTAATCCCACCACACAGGAGATATGGCAGACTGTCCAAGAAGAGTTACAAGTGCAGAGAAAAGCTGTACATTAGCAGGCCTTTCTCCAAGATAGCTTTCTGCTGAAGTCAGCGAGCTTTTGCTCAAATTATCAGCACACTATGACCACTGAGTCCCCACTGTGTCCCACTGGTTCCAATAATAACCCACTTGCTTGGCTTAGAAGGTGCTGAATTACTTGGCTTTTAATTTTATTTTTTTTTATAAAACAGTTTATCGTAACCAAAGAAGGGCTGATGCTGTTTGACTTGGCAAACAAATTAAGGTGATACCCGCCAGGTGATATGTGCCAGAAATGTAAACCTAGCTTTATTCCTGGAGAGAACTAGACAAAGCATGAAGTATGACACTGCGCTGGGGGGAATTAGACCTAAAAGTCAGAGTAGGAAAACATTACAGAAGCCAGAAAATCTCTCTCCCTGGGTTTTCTTTTTAGTTTTCTTTTCTGATTTTTGTTTGTTTGTTTGTTTTTTAATGTTACAGACATCCAGTGCAATACTGTGTGTACTCCATTTGCAAAACATTTCCTCAGATGTGTGCATATATATGTGCATTATTTATTTTTTACAAAGCTATATATAAGCATAGCTCAAATAAATTTTAAAAAGACATAGAGGCAATAAAGCCATACCAGAATTCCCACCCATTTGGAGCTATGTTGTAAGTGAGCTAAGAGTTGAGTAATCCATCCAACATATCACTGTTCTGCTGCTAATAAATAAAAGATCTATGGAATGGAAGTGCTCATGCTCCATCTGCTTTAAACTTGACCATGTAAAAAGAAAAAAGAGATAGAGAAAATGCCCGTGGTTGGCAAAAGTGCTCTAAAGGGGAAAAGAGGCTAACACACATTACTTCTTATTCTTAAACTAAATATAACATCCCAGTGTATTTTTAAAAAATTGGCTGGCGCTTCCTGGGTCATGCACTTTGGACATAAAATCTGAGACAAAATTCAACTTTCCACTACACACAACCTTAGATAAATCCAGCAGTTAGTGGCTGTAATTTTCACCAAGTTACTGAAAAACTTTCTTTGCATCTCCTTTCTTGCTGTCCCTGACTGCCAGCAAACCCCCAGTGAGAACTAACAGTAAATCCTAACTCATGCTAGAGAGTGGTCTCTGTTAATGCCAGGTTTTGCTGTGCTTGTTTATATAACACCACTTGAATTCACAACGTCCAGCAATTCTCTTCTCTCAACTCTTATCAGTAGAATGCCACAATACTAATTTTATAGAGGCATATTTCTGGAATGGAAAGGGTGAAAATAACCAAACCAATAACACCAAGTGCTTTATGTTCAGGAAGCTGGCAAAAAAGCAAGTGCTGGAAAACAAAAACAAAAACAGTTAAGTAAGAACATTTTGCATAAATTCTGTTACCAACTTGAATGAGTACTGTACCTGAAAGCCTAGGAAGTTTAAAATACATCAGATACAGGAGACATGGCTCAGGATACTATGCTGCTGGATTCAGATCAATCATAATGAAGGAATTGAGTCAAACGTTTGTTGACTGTTCAGTACGTACAGCAGGACATCTTCTTTCACTTTGAATCATACAAATCTACTGAAGGAAACCCTTGATCTTGGCTTTCCACATGCTGGAGTAGTGACAGCCATTAAATGAAAAGGGAGCCTGTGCAAGGAACAGCTTTCTACACACAGTAGTACATAAATGCTCATATCCTGGGGCGAGGTAGCTTGCAGATGAAGGCACACTATTGAAACATTAGTGTCAGAATTTTTACATCCTGTTTCACTGGAGTAATAGAAGAGAAAAAGCATTTCTTATGTTGTCTCCCACAGCTGAGAGGAACAACGTGGGAATGTGCACACGTGGTTTTCCTGTTGATGTGACACCGATAATGTACAAGTCTTGGGTCTCATCAGCATGTTCTTAAGTGAGAGCTTTCCTGATGCTTGAAGCTTCTGCCTTCCCTAATAGTCATACATGAGCTGAAATTCTGAGCAGGACCTGTACTGCTAAGAAATGTGTCCTCAGGATTTCTTGATAGAAGAGTGCAGGAACAGAGTAGTCTAGTGGTCAGTGCCTGCTAGGAAGGAAGGGAAAGGGGAGTTCGCTGTCTGAAATAAGGACCAATCTTCACAGCTGGGATTCAGCCTGATTTAATGAGGAGTGGATCCAAGCTACCTCCTATGTCACCGCACCCTCACTACAAAATTCCTGGTTTCAACTCTTGTGTATATTTCCTGCATTATAGAGCATATGTTCTCTGAAGAAAGGCCACTGTATATTTTCTCACTGGAATATCTGGATTTTGTTGCCTCTAACACAGCTGTCACGTAAGGGACTTGAGCTCCAGTGTGTTCTCCATCTGGATCACAGTTGTGTTTTCTGTCCTGCCTACCTCGAGTAAGGCCAGGCATCAGAATGATCCGGAGGAACTCTTGGAGCTGTCGTATTACACTTGAAGACGAAGGAATTATTATCTAACCCAGCTGATTGTATAAATAAGGCTACTGTGGTGATTCTGCTCAGTACAGGAAAGATACAGATGATACACAGTAGAAACAGCAGAAGTGCTGCAGAACTGCTCTGCTATACTGTCACTTCACAGTGTGGTGGCAGCAGTGCTTCCCACAACTAATCACGGCTTGCTTGCATTCTCCTTAAGGCTTCACTGCAAAAAATGCTTCTGGGAAATAACACTAACCCAGTAGCTACTTCTTCAGGAATTTCCTTTTCCTGAGGTTGCTGGTATCCCCACTTTGCATCAACTAAAAAGGCCAGGGAGCAAGCAGGCAAACAACTGATGTTGCTGTTTCTCTGTCGTATCACACAGACTTCACAACTTGGGTATTCCTGGCTGCAGGTCAATGAGCTAGGTGTGAATGTACAAGAATGGTCAGCTGACTTTTCCTTCCAAAGCATGATGCCTTCTCATTTACTTCTCCTGCTCTGTATAGGTGTGGTATTTACCAGCTTCAGGTGATCTTTGTCTAAATCACATGAAAAGTCTTTCTTCATTAACTCTGGAAGTTACACAAGCAGAACTACTGATGCTATGTCAGTGTCCTCCGTGTAGCTCATAATTAATGAAGCTTAGCTCCCTTGATACACAGTCATCCAGCAAAAAATGATGCAGACTGAGGCAACCAGCTCTCCAAAGGAAGTTCACACTTTCTATATGAAGTGCTCTGTAATCAGTGTGTTCACCACTTTCATTTAAGTTTATAGAATTTGAGTTCCCATGAGGTCTGGGTAGGAAAATGTTTGAAGGCACAAGTACCACATTTCATCTTACTACCTCTACAATAAAAAGTATCATTTTCTAAGGCACATGGATCTGGTCTAATCAGGTCACCACACTTAGTACTGACGTTAGCAAGGTAAGTTAAACTATTACAGTTTCTATAGGTATATACATGCTGCAACCTGAGATAGAAGCGAAGAGTAGAATACACTGCATAAAGGGCACGTATGCTATTTAAATGTATTAACAACAGACAACAACAAAGCCTCTGCTGAAACATGACAAGTCTTAACTTTTTTGCTTTTAAAAAGAGTAATTAGAAAAGAGAACAAAGCAGGCTGTTTTCAGAAGCATCAGAGCTGCTTGCGAAAACCTTTCTCCTCCTAAAACGTAAGAGACAATCAGGGAGAAAGGCAGAGGAGGAAGGGGAAGATGAACTAGACAGGATGATACAAGGTATTCTAGTAAAGGACATAACATGTCAGCAGATATCTTGGGCTCTTGTGGAAAGTGTGATAGCATTTTTGGCAGTGCAAGTTCCACCTACCACAGGCTGCTGATGCCTGGAAAAGGGAAGGCAGTGTTGAAAAGGTTTTGTTAGGGGCTCATTTGCTGCAACAGGTAAGGATTGTGCTGGTGTGCTTCAAAAGAGGATGGGGAAACCACCATCCCCAGAGTAGTTTTTAAAAAAAAGCAGAGAAGTTCCTTACATCCTCATTGTCACTGTCCAGACTGCCCTTCTTCTTTTTCTTCTTCTTCTCATCCTCTTTCTTTTTCTTGTCCTTTTCTGGAATGACGTCATCAAGAAAACTTAAGTCATGCTGGGAGAAGAGGTAGTCCATGGCTTTTCTGACTGCTACAAGTGCCAAGATCTGAAAAGGCAGAGAGGGACTTTTCACTCGGACACATTTTACTTTTGATTGGCAACGTTCTGTGCATACCTGTTCATGCTACTTTTTAATTCCAAACACTTGAATGCTGGTTGTAAAAGAACATACAGAGAACAAGGTAATTGAGATATTTCAGTTGATCGGCTTGAAAATCTAATGAATGGAACTGCGTCAGGCCTCAAGCAGCAGTATTTCATATCAGATTAAAGAGAAGCAACATACAGGAACATTAATGCAATCACCTACTGCTCCTGTAAAGACAGAAGTCATCTTTAACCTCCTGCTGACAAGTATCGAGCAAAATAATTAACTAGAGAGGCCCAAAATGAGTATTTTCATCCATTTTGGAATTCAGCTTACATGTATGTATGTTCACAAGGGCATCCTGAGTAATTTTCTTTACTTTTTTTCCTCTCACCATTTCTCCAGATAGAACAATTCTTTAAAAATTAGACAGTGGCCTAGGTGTGCCTTCAGATTTTACAGTATTAAATTTGCTAGGACTGTGTTTGCAAGAAACTGAAGGAAAAGCTTTTTTCTGGGTAAGACTGCACTGTAAAGCACCAGGGAAAAAAATAAGGGACATGTCTGAAAGGGGTGTCTACATCTGTGCTGAAATTTAGCCTCACCAACAGATGCATACCAAGATTACACGTACACTCTACTGAAGGGTGCAGTGCAGAATGAAAGCTCAACTTGGTTATAAAAAGATGTCATCCATTCCTGACAACAGAAGACACATTTTAAGACAGAACAGTTTGCTCCAAGTGATAAAGATCGATGGCAGAAATTATCCCTCAAAATGGATCTCAAACTTTGACTTACATAATTTAAGTGGGGTTACAGAAGTGAAAAATTACTCAGGGAGTGGAATATGCCGTGGAAGCACCCATCATTATTTCACTATAAATTCCCTCTTTATTAAAAGTACTTTCCCTACAGATAAGCAAGGGGCTGGCTGTTGGTTAGGTCTTCACAGTCAGATTGGAAGTTAATAGTCTTCCTGTTCTCAAGTGTAAAAACTGAGGTTTTATCATTAGATCCAGCCACATCTGTAATTATAACAAACTTCAGCAAACATAAAGATTCTCTTATGGGCAAAGAGGAAGTCTTCAGATCTTAAATTCAGCATTCAACAATATCATGTCCAAACCATGACAATGCAACAGAACAGCATGCCACTAGAAACTGCTTTTAGTATCTTTATATGTTTGCATATGTCGTAGCAAAAATATTTGTATGTTTTACTTTTTTCACTTGAATCAGCTTTTCTCATTTCACTAGCATCAGAGAATTGCCTCTGTTTTGTTTTCTGCTTTCCTTCATTTCACTTTCTTAAATAAGCACTGGAGTTTTGTAACTGTACCCACAACTGAGATCTTACTCATTAGTAAACCTGAAACTAGGGGAGACTGGGCCAATATGTAATAAATGAGTTTTATACAGCATTGACTTTACAGCATTCTGACCCACTTCCAAGAGAGACAGTCTCTTGGCATGTGGCTATGGCCACACTGGATCCATTTATCTGTAAAGTCACATTGCTCCCAGTTACATTAGCTGAGTCACAGGAGGTGTATGGAGGCAGAGAAGGGTTTGCTCTGTGCTCCCACACTATGGACATAAACTACTCCAGTGATCACTGGATCAGTGTAAATGGCTACAGGTTTTGGAACTTGGTCTGGTTTGCAGCCACGTGCCAAGTGTATGTGCAAATTCCCCTTACCACTTGTTTATTTCTTATTTGGCATGTGCACTTAACTGTGTCTCTAGGAATAATAATAATCTCTAATTGCACAGATAGCTGTTTCACTGTTCCCCTTCCTTGATGTAGAAATACCATATTAGACTGACTGCACAGTGTGTATTTATGAAATAATTGTGTGATTAATTATTTATAATTCAGCATCCAAAAAATGTTTTTAACATGACTCTGACATGCACTGTTAGAAAGACAATTTGCATCCTATAGATATTCTTAGCAATCTCAGATGTGAAACATGTGAATCAACATCCTTGCCTTTTTACTCAAGTTCCAAGAAAAAGAGAATCCCTTTCTCACTCTTGATTGTGCGAATCCTTCCCTCCACTTGGCGTTTCTCTGAGCAGTGAGATCAGCCCTACCACTTCTTTCTCCTTTGTCAATTTGTGATACTGAAAAGTAAGGGTGTACAGTACTTAGTGTGGACTGAAAACGGAAAACTATGCACTCATTCATTCATGCAGCTCAAGGAGAAAACACAGCAAATCTAACCTTGGCAGCCAGGAGCAGTCAAAACCCTTCTGGCAAAAAATTAACTTTGGAGGCTTGCTTTCCCCTCCAGAGGATTTATGTGAAGGCAGCCACAGCACCTGAGAGAATGTGGAGAACGTTCACCCTGTGTAATCTTACATCAGCACAATGAATGAAGCGTGGAGTTCTAAGGCAGGGCTTTTACAGTGAGAGGATTTGATTTGCCTGTTTGTGGGAGAGTATGCCCATGTGTGGAAGGCCCAGGCTACAGAAAAGAGGTGTGGCTGGAAAAGGCAAAGGAGAACATCACCTACCATGACAGGGAATATGATAGCGGCCACAGTTGACTTGAGAATCCAGAGTAGGGCTAAGCAAACCACCTGCAGAAACGTGAACAGATGGACCCTGCGCAGCGGGACGTGACGCAGATAGATAAAATCAGGCTGGTGCTTTAGAGGCATCAAGAGCAGCTTCAGACGATCCATGAACTGGGTAGAAAATGGGAAAGCAATATATATATATACATATAAATGAACACAGGGTAAACAATGAAGTGAGACAATTGCGTAATTAAACTATTAAGTGAGATCTTGAATCAACTTGCTCTCCTTCCATAAAGGAAGCACAACATGGAAGGCAGCATGGTTCCTCTATCTTGAGCAACTATTGCTGAATGCAGTGGGCTAAATATTTTTAACTCAGTTGTCTGAAGTTAAGCTTCCACACCTACATTTTGCACCTACACAGAAACAGAAATCAAGCATTTCTCAAAGCAAGGCCTTGAGGTGCCTTTATTTTAGGAAGCAGGACTCCATGTAATCTGATGATTAATATTTAAACCAAAAAACTTAGGTGTCAGTGGAAACAGCTCTGCTGGCTTCAAAAGAACTAGGCTGATCTGATGTAGCTGAAGTCAGAGGAAATTTTCTATTGAATATCCTGACTATGGTCAGCATCAATGCTTGGGTTACTTCTGTTAACTTCCCTGTTCCTGCCAGGAATGCTATAAAGACATTTGGCATTTAAAAGTAGTGCCTTTGTCAAATTAACTGCAAGCAGAGGTCAGCAGAGGTAAGGGCAGACATCATGTTAGCAGAGAAAAGAATGCACCCAACTGAACAAGATGGGCAGCTTTTCAGGCAGTGTCCCTTGCCCATGCTGGACTGGGTGGACTTGGAGTTAAACCAAAATGGAGAGTTCTCACTAAGTGAAAAACATCCTTGATGGGGGAAAATAAGTAAGTGCACAGTTCTGTGACCACCTGTGCCAGAAAGCAGGGGAAATCCCCTCCAGGAGAACCAGCCCAAGGGTGAACATTACAATCCCCCCGTTGTCTCTTGCCAGAACTTGGGCTTGTTGCCCACTTCTTAGACCAGATTTATCTCAAACCAGTGAATGAAAGCCTGGGCCATTTTAAAGAATACTCAAATAAACTCATGGTGCTCACAGAACACAGAGTCTTTCCCCATTAGAGCACAACTAAACAGTAAAAAGAAAGGCTACAATTAATAGGGTGCCAGAAAGCAACAAAAACACTTCCAGCTTCCTAGCACCAATTAAAGATATTGCACTGTGAGAAAGGCTCCTTACGTAATATTTCCTCAGAAAGAAAGGGGGCTTGGCTTCCCTTCCATAGCAAACAGCAATGTTCCCACTTGTTAACATTGCGGAATAACGCCACCATCATAAATCATGTTCTCTTGTTTTTCTTCAGTCTGTAACAGATGTTCCAGCAAAGGACCCAAACTATCTCAGAAGTGAGCCTAGAGCCTTTGTAAGCACACGCTGTCCTCTGTATCAGCATGTTGGGGGTGAAGAAGGATCCTGGGCCTTCACATAGGCCCCCCTCATTGCTTATGGGGCCAAGACTTGGCTGCTCTCCTGCAAATTTCTTTCCCTTAGTGTCATTCTCAAGAACAGCCAGTGTGTGGCAATATTGGTAAATAGTTGTTGCCCTGCCTGGGTTTCTTTGGAAACATAAATGAGATGGCAGAGGAAAAGAGGAAGGCCAGAAAGTCCTAAGAGAAGCCTTGTAATAATTAATGATTACCACTTTCTGGGCAAGGTCCTGCAGGGAGTCTGCTCACAGATGCCAGAGCAGCCCCTGGGCACTGCAGAAGCTTACCTGCACGCCATTGAGGGATGCAACACCCATGTACAGGAAGACACCATAGAGCACAGGCATGGGAATGAACTGCAAGGGAAAAGAGCAGGAGAAACCAAGTTAATCACTTCCATATATGACACACAATGTTAGTGCTCAGGGAGGCATAATCCCCGACTCATGACAGATATGAATTGTGCTTTTGAATGGGTAATGTACAGTAATAGACTGTATGCTATCTTTCTGCTGTATTTTGAGAGTTGAAAGAACATCTTGATAGCAGGGCAGAGGCTGAGTGATCTCTGTTCTCTCCCATTTCAGTGCAACTTGGAAGTCTCCCCAAGAAACAAAGGAAACAAGGACAGACAGTGCCAGTTAGCCATCAAATTTAAGAAGAGGTGGGATAAAACGTATTCCAGTAAATTCCAAACTACTTTTCACCTCATAGTTTCTAATGAGACTGAAAGCAGAAAGTAGAAAAGCAGAGCAAGAAAAGGCATCATGGATCCTATTACACATCCAACTTAATACACAATGGAAGTTTTTCCAGAAGGGCTGATCCCTTGAGTCCCAGATGAGCAATTATAGTCATGCAAAGTAAATCTCTAACTGCTCAATCTTTTAACTCACACTAATCTGCTACAATTAATAAATAATGGACAATGAATTACATTCTTCACTTCTAGAAATTGGTTCTTCAAACAACGATTTCTACTCCTTCAAGTGTTACGCACTGGTCACATGCAGGTGGAAACAGTGTCCTTTGGAAATAAAAAAAGCAGTGGATGTGCAGGGGTGCAGCCCCATCTCCAGGTGCTTGCAAGGTTTAATGCAAGAGCAGCCATCACCAACTCCACCTTTCTGCCCAACTTCAGCAAATGTGGCTTTAAACTTCCCCTCCCGTGCCACAGGACCAGCCCAGCTACATCAGCCAGTGTCTGCACTAATCCAGGCGGCTGCAGAGGAGAAACCCTTTGACTACTGCAGATTTCTGCATACGGTAACAACATACATGCTTCCCCCGAAAAAAATAGCTGGTCCTCCAACCCAAAGCACAGAGCCTTCTGCAAAGGCAAAAACAATTGCACAGTAGCTACAAAATGGAGAATGCTCTTTTTGACGAACAACAAAATTGTGTGCAATGAGTGTGGCATGTGAATGGAAATACTTGGGCATAAATCAAACACAAGATCTGAATAAAGGCCATTGTGCCACACTTGTTTCAACCCAAAAAGAGCAGAAAGGGCTCTGCAGCTGTCTGCCCAGAGTGAGGGAAGCCTTCATGTAGTGACAGGCAGCTGCCACAGAATGACAAGTGCAGCACAACCAAAGTCTCCCTGCTCAGAGTGTCACCTGGACTAACATGATAGGAATGTTTGTTTTTCAACCTGTTTATGTAACTCATTAAAGTGGCAAATAATCTCTGTTTATTGAGTTCTCCACTACATTATTAATCGTTTACTAGGTAATAAACACAGCACTATGTAAATTTCTGTGGAGGCCTTGATCCTGAATGCTTGCATTTCACTTCACTAAAGTCACCAGGGCCACGTGTACAACGTCCTCAAAGATCAAAGCATCACTGCCTACGTTCCTTCCTTGTCTCACTCCCTCTCATCTCCTTCAAGCTCCTTGACCACTGTTTGTCCCTCCTATTGGGGAAGGACGAGGAGTCAGTGTGTGGTCCCCAGAGTTATGAGTACCCAAGGGATTCAACATCCTCACTGGATCTGAGGGATTAGATAAGTCAGTATCTCCTCCAGCAAGTTGAGCAGGAGGCTTTATGAGTTTGACTTTCTAGTTCACTTACCTTGCTTTCTTTTCTCCCATTCTTTCTCCTTCTCTTTTTCAAAAAAAAAAAAAGAAAAATGTCTAAATATTATTTCACCGTTCCATTATAATTAATCCTGTAAATCATTCCTGAGTGAAACTTCAGCACATTATCCTGCAGAGTAGCAAGCAGTGCTTTCATTTTGGAAGATTATGTTTTGGCAAAGTATTCACTGGCTATGGGGTTGCTGGCATGGGCACTCGGAACAAACCTGCTGCTAGCCAACAGAATTAAGAATGTATTTATAGGAAAGTGCCTGTCATTCTCCTAGCAGGGTAGAGGATGTTTTGGATGAGATCTGCCATAACTGAACTGGAGAGATGAGTGACATTCAAAAACAGCACAAACACAACACCCACAAAAAACAAGGATGGGATTATTCTGCGGATTCCCTGTCTTATTGAATTTGGTAGCATTAGTGTTCAATTTGCCGCTGGCATGAGAAGACTCAAATGTTCTGCAATACATTCTGCTAAGAGTTCTTTGCAGCAGGAGACCCTACCGCTGGAGTTTGTTGAAGGTCCTGAAACACTGCCAGCTAATTCCTATTGGCACGTGGGCAAGGAGCATGCCAATTTGTCCTCAGACATCCTTCTGCGAGGATCTTGCCCATACACATTCTTTGGAGAAGCTGAGAAAAAACAATGAGGGAAGCAAGAGCAGGGGAAATAACGGAGCCTGCAGAATAGAGGAAGAGAGATCTTGCAAGGAAAGGTCACATGAACTAACAGTGTGCCTGCACTCAGCACCACTTAAACCATCCCAGGGACAGGCAGTATCCTGCACAAGGAACAGATAAGCACGTTTTCTAGTTTCATCCTTCTCTGATTCGATGCACCGAGGATGCATTTCTTTGTGGTTCTGTGCCAGTAAATCTCAGCTCTTGGAAAATAGCTGCCTATCTAGATTAAATGGTACGTGAGCAGCACAAGTGTCCAAAGGCTTCGGTAACATCACAGGAAGAAAAGATCAGGAAATTAAGAAATCACATTTTATTGCACTGCTTCCCACAGAAACATGTTTTCTGTACTGCCGAGTTGGACATTGCTTTTGAGCAAGAAGAGGAGTGCTCTTTTAGGAGGATTTAGTGTAAAAGAATGGAAATTCGATTGTTGTGCTGGCTCTTTTTAAAAGCAAGGCAAGCTGCAGGAGCCTCACACTGCTGAGGTGCATGCCTTGGCAGCCCTAACAGGCAGGGCAAAGTTCCTGCTCTACGAAGGCAGTGGCAACAGTCCCAAAGATTTTTGGCCAGAACTTTACCTATGGAGTAATACTATCTGCTGTAGGCTGTGCTCATTGCCATCAGTTCTGCATATTCTCTCTCATCAAAGTTACTTCCTTTCAGTGGGCACACACATGCCCCACGAGTAAATACCAGATGAAGATTTTCATCATCCACGTGTAGAAGATCCTGAAAATCTGGTTCTGACAATTCATACCACAGAACTTATTTCCTCCTCTAGAAACAGCTAGACTTCAGGGTGAATGAGAAAGTGAGAGGTATCTGCAGGCTGCATCACTCCCTCCAAAAGTAGAAACTTCACCCCAATCCTTCCCTCTGACACATGTTGTAGAAGCATTCTTAATTCTGCACTTGACAGCTTCTTCTGGAGCTATAAAGCAAAACTATTTTAGGCTCCTGGAGGCCTTCTGGGAGTAAATGTGACCTGAAAGAAGGTGCTGCAAAGTTGCATTCTTGCACCTCACAACAACTCAGCACACAGCTCTATGCAAAGGAACAAAGCCAGTACATAAACGCCTGGGTTTGTGTGTGTGTGTGTGTGTGTGTGTGTGTGTGTGTGTTTGTATGTTTTACCATGTGCGCACATGTCTATATGCAAATGTACTTTTCTGGATTACATATTCATCTGTTAATCTGTCTTTCACACAGCAACTGTGCTTCACTCCATGATGTTATCAGTATGGTCTCAAAGTTTATCTACAATATGCTTTCCTTACAACACAGGCACAGCAGGAGAATATCATAAAAGAAAACTTTACCAGAAGAAAAATCCTAAATTAAAATCACAGCCCTCAAAACCAACAGCCCTGAACCTTGGTACTATCTCTATGTCTATAGCACGCCAAAAATACATTATTTTTTTCCTTCCAAAAATTTAAGCTTTTGTTAAATTGAAGAATTGCATCAGTGATTCTCAGTACTTTTCCATACTTCAGCAATGAGCCTTTTTAGAAGCACAGAAATGGTGTGACGGCTGTGGTCTTGGCCACTTGCTTGCACTTCTGTGAGCAGAAGGAAGCAGAAGAGATTATGTGCTTACCTTCAAGATAGGAGCCATAAAGACAGATACACCAGTTAGAATGAAAACAATGACTCCAGTGACTCTCTGCTCCCTGGAAGAAAAGCATTAGGTTAGCAGTATGGTTTCAGCTTTAATTCCAATTTTGTTCCCTTCTTAGAGCATTCAAAACCTATGTACATTCTGGCAACTCATTTTTTGCAGCCACATTTTCAAAGCTGACTGACAATAACAAGCCAACACCTTCAGGCAGGCATCTTTATCATGACCAAGTCTCATACAGATCTTTTTTCAAGCACCAAATCAGTTTTTGTATGTTTGCTTGTTTCCCTAGCTCCATTGTTTGTGGATCAGCAGAGTGCTGCTACTAAGTAATGAGTGTGTTTAAATGTTAAACATTAGAAACTGTTAACCAGCAAACCAGATTCTCTGCACGGCAGCTTTCACAACATGCAAATAGGTAATAAATCATTAGCTCTCCACTCTTAAATTAGCAGCATATTTCAAACGTTGGTCACAGTATTCCAACAGTTAGATAAATGCTGTTTCTCACCGTACTGTACACTGCTCTGCACACCACGTACACGGGGAGTTCACAATCCCCTGGTCCAGGACTTCATGGGGTGCTGGACATTTGACTTAAGAGGCACCCACAACTGCTCCCTGCATCTGAAAATGCTTTTGCAAATAGTATTTCTGAGTACTTAAAGTTAGGCCATTAAGTTTCTATTATTTGCCTAACTAAGTGATTTCCAAGAGTGCTGCTGCTCCTGTTGAAAGCACTTCAGGCCACTTAATTAAGGGCAACCAAATACAGAACAAATGGTTTGAATTAATAGAATAGATTGCTTTAGCCACAACATGTTTAGGTCTTTTACCACTATGTTTGCTAGCAAACACCTGTCTAGTTTCCATGGATAAGGACATCTGAAGTAAATACATCTTCTTTCTCAGACACTGGAAAACTGCTGAATCTCACAGTCAGGTTGGGAAATACAAAGAAGGATGTAGGAGACTCTTCATGAAAACACTGCAGTGCCCCAATGGCACCAGACCATGCAATGTAAAGCCTTGTGTAGTTAGAAGTGGCTTCAGTGTGCATGCCCAAAGTAGACAAAAATTATCTCAACTCTGAAATTAAGTTCCCTTTTCTTCCTCCCTTCACTTGCCCTCACTCTGTACACAGACACACATGGTAGAATGGTTTTCTTCCTTTTCAAGAAAGAGTATCTGCAGAAGGATTATGCCAGATAAGCTTCCAACTGGATATATCCTCTGAAGGCAGGGAAAAAAAAAGCTGTAAGGAAGCACAGCTGATCTGAAGATTTACTGCAAATCTAAGAGCTATTTCCCCCTTGAACTTCTACACATGTTCTGTTCAGAGCACGACCATTTATAGTACAAACTGATCTCTGCAGGCAAACAAGGTAATAAAGGTCTATTTGGTTTGACATACCTCACTCCCAAAAACTTGGGCTGTTCTCCAGGGGCTGAAGTTTCAGTCTCCATCTTCAAGCTGTCAATATGAGCAATGGAGATCACAGTCGCAGCAACATACCAGGGCAGACCCATAAAGGAGCAGATAATCATCAGAATGGCCACCCAGAACAAATCCAAATGATACCCAGCACCTTTCTGTGAAGGAAGACAGACAACCTTAGCTTTAATTATTCTAAATGCATAAGGATTAGCCAAGGTTCTGGCACAGGGCAGAGGCACACCAACCAAGCAGCATTTCCTTCAGCTGTATCTTTAGTGAACTGCTTGACTGCTCTAAGAGACAGAAGTTTTCACAAGCAATTAGCAGAGTGGGTCACACTGGTACATAAAGGATGAACTACTGCCTCAGCAGGGAAAGCAGGTATATGATACTGTTCTGGCAAGTTCTGAAAACAATATAACGGGGTTAAGCAATAAGTATAAGAAAGTAGCAGACATGCAAGCTGTCCCACGAAAGACCAAGCACTGTGCAGTGTTTGGAGGTTGGGTTGGTGCAAGACAAGCCCTGCAGCCAGTCAAGTAGTTCAGTACAGTGGTACTCTTTACACAGCAGACTACAAGTTCACTGAGAAGTATTAGGTGAGTTATATGTCTTACCTTGTAAACAGTATAAGCAAGTTCTCAAAATATACGTATATCTTGATTACAGTGTGTTTACAGTAACCTGAAGGAGCTCTGTATTGCCTCTAAAAAAAAAAGCCACCAAAAACTGGAACCACACTACATATGCTATTTTTACAATTTAAGTTTTCCCAGATTTTTTTTTACATGAAGTGACACAGTGACAAGAAACCAAATACCCAACACTATTCCAACTCCCTACTGACTCCGCAGTGTATGCAAAACTAGAACTAGAACACATTTTCAGAGCATGAGACAGATACAGCAACAAGAGAGTTTGGACAGGGCAAGAACGTGGAAGGGTGATCTGTAAACAAGTGAGCAGTTTACATGGTGTGAGCAGTTGTCCTGCTGATCTGCTACAAGTGCACAGGACTTCTTTTGACATTGTGGGAAGCCAGAATTTTCACCAACTGTGTATTCATACGAGTCTAGCTCTCTACATAAACATCATTGTCAGAGCGGAGTCTGAACAACCACTGATGATGGAGGGGGAGCAGTGCTGACCCACGTACTGGTGCTAGGAAAGGGACACGTCATTCCAGACTGCAAGCTGTGAAATCCCCGTCCAGCTGCTTTTGCTTTGCTCACTTCACTTGGTTTCTCTCTTCTCTCGTATCCTGATTTGTAAAGACATGGCACACAAACAGTGCTTGTTATCTTTAGCTGGACTTGAGGTACTCTTCTAAAAGTCAGAAATTCTTCTTTACAATGGAGAACGAAGTTGTTCATAATCCCTTTCCCAGGCCCCTTGTTTTCTTCCAAGTACAACAGCTCCTTCCATTTCAAAGGCTTATTTCATTTGGCATCAGGAACTACAACAGCACTTTTGTGTGCCAAGTCATCTCACATTTGTGTGAGTGACAGCATGGATATGCACAGAGCTTTAAACACCTAAACCAACCTTTCATAAAACCAGACAGAAGCCTTATTTTATGAGGCAGCTGTTGTAAAATAACTCAATGCAATGATTTAATGAAGCTTACCTGGAAGTAATCTTAGAGATATACGATGCCTGCCAAAAAGGTAGCATTTACCATCTCCTATCTCAGGGCAAGATCTCAACTCCTATATTTAGGATACAAAGCAACTGCAGAAACTCAGTAAGGACTTCACAGTCAGTCTGAGCAATGCTGATTTTGCTGGGTACTGGAGGTACTTTCCTGAAAGCCCAACTATGCTTTCTGTGGCACACTGACAAGAGCAGCTCATGGGACACTTAACTCATCAAAAAGAGAAAGCTGCCCTCATTCTTTGATTCTTTTTAGAAACCTTTTTCTTCAGATTGATCTGAAGAGAAACTCCAATGGAAACTGATCTTGTAAACAGAAGTTTCTGTCAGAGGCAGACAGCAGCACCTGCTAGCAAAACACTGGTGAATTCACCCCTAAAAGCCTTCTCCAAATCCAGTACACTCCTCCTATTATTAATCTGTTTTTTTTAAAATACATTAGTGGATTAACACAGGAAATTTACCGGTCACAAATGCCAAGAGAAGAAGCAAAAAAAAACAAACAAGACATCAAAGAATAGGATCTTCAGAAAAACACCAAAGAATTCTTCACAGTTTGATGTTTTAAAGATTAACCTTTTTTTAAACTTGTTCAATTTGATTTTATTGGAAAGAACAAATGAACCAGTCCTACGTGATGACCTAAGAGGGAAAGCAACCCAGCTCCTCTTGAATAGTAGTCATTGTTTTCCTAATACATTCACTGCTTACTTTGGACGACCAGCAGCACCCAGACGGTTACTCAGTGCCACCTTGCCAATACTTTAACAGGGCAGCAGGAGGAAAAAAAAAGTCCTCCTTTGGTCCTCCAGTAGATGTGTACCAATGTACATTTTGATGCAGAGCAGCAGGAGAGGACTGGAGAACCCCCATTTAAACAAAAGCATGTTCTCACAACTGTAAGAAAGGAAGCAGGAAACAATTTTTTATATTAAACAGTACCTTGTGGGAATGTTTATACTTTGTGACTAAAAAAAGTACACCCAGTGCTGATGATAGCATGAGCAGGAGTAGGTAGGTAATCCTGCCCCTGTACTCAGCATCGGTGAGGCCCCACCTCGAGTACCGTGTTCAGTTTTGAGCACCTCAATACAGAAAGGATATTGAGGTGCTGGAGCAGGTCCAAAGAAAGGCAACAAAGCTTGTGAAGGGCTTGGAGAATACGCCCTACGAGGAGAGACTGAAGGAACTGAGGCTGGGAAAAAGATGGCTAAGGGGAGACCTCATTGTTCTCTTCCAATATCTGAAAGGTGCCTACAGCAAGAGCAGGGTTGGTCTCTTCTCACTGGTGACAGGTGACAAGACAAGGCAAAATGGCCTCAAGTTGCGCCAGAATAAGTTTAGGTTGGATATCAAGAAACATTTCTTTACAGAAAGGGTGGTTAAGCACTGGAATAGGCTCCCCAGGGAGCTGGTTGAGTCACCATCCCTGGATGTGTTTAAAAACCGTCTGCATGTGTTGCTTAGGGACATGATTTAGTGGAGGGTTGTTAGAGTTAGGGTAGTATGGTTAGGTTGAGGTTGGACTTGATGGTCTTTAAGGTCTTTTCCAACCAAAGCAATTCTATGATTCTGTGATTCTATGTTCAGATAGTCAGAAGCTCACAACAAGAAGGCTGGGTGCCTCTTCCTCAGAAAGCATTAGCTGGGGACTTCAGTCTTTTGTGGCCTTTCCCAGCCTTGCTGGAACAAAGCAAACAGCTAGAAGGCCAAATCATGACAGCTAAAGTATACCAAAAACTGAGGCCATGTCAATAAGAAAAAGCCACCATCACAGGAGGAAATCAGACACCAGCAGAAAGCAAGTCAGTACCAACTGCCCTGTCTGACAGGCAGGCAGACACCTGTGCTGAACCTTGCCTCCATACACCTTCACTTAATGGTGCTTCAAGGACAGGTAAAAATTAGCCTTCCCATAAGGAAGGCTATCATTAGCTTTATCTGTCCAGCTCCAAATGGCAAGTAGCAATGTTCTAAGGTTTTATTTCAAACCAGCCACCATTCCTCACTCTACACAACAAACCTTTCCCATGCCCTTCTGGTCTTTCAAGTCAGTGTTAAATCACACTAATTGCCTAATGCCTACAAAGTAACCATATGGAACATCCTCCTCTTTTTCAAGTAGGAGCCCAATGCACAGAAAGGGTTGGACTTGATGATCTTTGGAGGTCCCTTCCAACACCTACAATTCTGTGATTTCCATCAGCTCTCTGTATAAATGTTGAAGTGGCTATCAAAACTATGATCCAGAACTACCTGCGTTTAGAGCGAGTCTTTGCTGTCATGGGTTAGACCACTTGAAATGTCTGCTGTTAGCAAAGAAGGGAGAGATTTCTTTTACAGGAGTTTAATGTGTTTCAACAGAACTGACCATGCAGGGAAGGGAAAAACCCTACAGGCATGAAAACCTGCATAGCACTGGTCTGGAAAGTTTATTTCAAAAACATTACTACATCCTAAGCTGCTACAAGTCAGTGGATATAAAGCTTTAAATAACATCCAATTGTGGTTATGCCTTTGGCATACCTACGATCTCTTCAGCTTATTTCTTGTATTTTACTGTACCATAACACCAACACAGCTGCCAAACGTGGGCCACCCTTTGCCATATCCATCAAAGGTGGATTCCTGCAGTCATCCGGGCACTAAAAGCTCTCCTTTGGAGTGGCTGACAGCCACACCGATGTGCTGTGCCCAGGAAAGGCCATGACAGAGACTCTGTTCTGCTGACTGCAGGCAACACTGACCTGTAATTGCCTTACAATAAGCACAGTAACAGAGGCTTATCAGATCTAGGGAAGGTTTACCTATTTTGATTAGATCAGAGAAGTTTTGGCCTGGAGACAATAATGCAGTGCTGTCCAAAGAAAAATCAGGTCATTGCTCAGGTTGGAGCAGAGGACTTGTCAAGCACACAGGCTCTCCTAATAACAAGCCTGAGCTGCCTACGACAAATGCTCTCTGTAGATTTATGCACGCCAATGTATTTATCCTACAATTAACTTTTGTCCTCTTCCCACATAATGTGGTGACATAAGGGAATACTCAAGGGTATAAGCAAGGCAGGAGAACCCACCGTCCAGCTCTTTCTACCTCTCCCAGTTATGGCTCATGCTGCACCATGCTCCCTCAATTAGGCTGTCCTTTGAGATCCCTACCTGGTTGATCTACTGTGCCCACCTTCTTTTTCCTTGCATGCTAAACCACACTGTGTGCTGAACACTGCCACAGGCCCTGCTCCATCTCTAGCGCAGAAAAATCATGGGATAGCTCTTTGCACACATGCACGTCACGAAGCACACCCACCTTGAGCTTGTGTTCTTTCCTGTTGACAATGACGGCTGTGATTTGCTGGTCCATGAAGATGAGGATAGTCACCAGCAGTGCAGGGATGGCTGCTGCCAGGTACACCCACCACGGGTTCCCTCCAAAAGGTGGTATAAACCAGCCCCTCTCAGGACTGGTTGGCTTTAAAGGGCAAGAAAAGGAAAGCATATATTAGAGCCACAATATAGCACAGATATCATTATGCTATAAATGTACAGGGCTTTTCCTTCCAGTAAATGGCTAGAGACACTTAAAGCTTGTGATAATTTAATTCTCCCTATCAAAAGCAACAAAAAGTTCTTGAAAATGAAACTGCTTATTGGGGGCCAGCTTTTGCAAGCTGATTAGCAGCAAGGTTACAAGAGGAGCTATGAGGAATGTGCCAGTAATGTGCCAGCTGCTCTGATCAGCTTCTCTGAAACGCCTCCAGGAATCTGAGTAAGGGAATGTCTCCAAGGTGGCTGAGCACATAACACCAGCTTGTGAGACCTGGATATGAGAAACTACACCCAAAGGAGGTAGGAGAAGCTAGGATTTAGGAGATCAGCCAACCAAAATGATGCTCATTAAAAGGATAACAGTGAAGTAAAATGGTCATTTCTAGTGAGCTTATTACTTTCCTGTTTTGAGGGCAACTGATTTTATACAGGGCAGTTGGAGGTAAAAGGGAACCTATTCCAAAAGCCATAAAATGAGTTGACAACTACATACCTTGAATTCACTTGGCACAATTAGTTTTGGTGTGTCCACACCTACCAGGGCATCTATTCCACAGAAAATCAAAATGGATAAGATAATGGCAAAGTCACTGATTAGCTTCCTGGCCTGAAACAGGAGTCAACATGGTAAGGTTAGTTAGCACTACGAAACACCACTTTATCCATGTCTTACATACTATGTGAAACTCCGAGTATGCGTTTGTTGGCAATACAAAATAATCATTTCCTCTTCTGTAGAAAGTAGGGTTTACATTGTAATGTCTGATGACATTTCCACCAAATGTGCCTTGTTACTTCATTTTTTTTGTCTGAGAGCCAAAGAATTAAGCCTAAATGGAAATATGAAAACAAGTCTGAGGAGAAGGATTGCCTGTTCCTTGCTTTGGCAAGTCAAACTGCTAAAGTAATGTTGAGAATTATTTAACATCTTGAGAAGAATTCTGAGACAATTTAGCTTTGTTTCTTTTTCAAATAATCTTGCAAGTTTTCATTGTGATCATCCTAATTACTGTCTCCTTCTGTTTGCCTTCTGATTCTCATAATTGTGTTTTTCTCTGCAGGGACAGAGGTGCTTTTTTGATACAAGTTGAACTTCTCACATCATCTCAGGATTCCTAAGGTATGAAGCTTTAGTATAAAATACTGTGTTATGCCCAGATACTATTCTTTCAATGGGTCTGATTTTGCAGTGCATGTTTAGGAAAAAAAAAAAAGAGAAAAGGAAGAAAAAAATTAAATGGAAATGACCATGGAAATAGTCATGGACTTCTCTTTAGGAGATAGGGAAAAAAATTTCCATGACAAATGTGATGTTCTGTGTGAACTGCAGACTTTGAAATGATTTTGTTTTTTGTTCAAGTAGTAAATCAACCCAAAATTAACCCAAGTAGACAACAAGAGAAATGGAGTATCTCGGTTAATCCTCTGCATATTTTAAAGAATGCAACTCTAGTGAAAACAATGGAATACAGCAATGTAAAGCTGCCACTGGTTGGGCCCTGAAACTAAGCCGGGCTGGCCCCACTGTGCTCATTTGTAACTGTGTGTGATCTTTTTGTATGTATTCCCTTTAAGCCTCCTAGGTTCACATGGTTACAGATAAATTGAGCTGTGTTTCAGGCTGGATGGAATTCATTTCTTTTTTATTAAAAATAATAGAGGTTCAGTTGTAACAGAACAGAACAGTAAAAATCCTTGCAAGATAAATCTCATTGTGTTAGAATGCCAAAAATGGGAGACAAGCCTTACATAAACATGGCTTTTGGCTACAAGTGGAAACCCGCTGTCTTCTTTCAGAAGAAAACTGGTGAAACTGGCAAAGGCAGAATATCTTGGAGAGAGCAGAACTGCTTGTGCACTATGTTTCAAGTGAACTCCTCACAGAGAAAAGGCCAGTTTGTTTTTTTATCCATTGCCATTCTGTGTTTAACAATTGTCATGGCAAGCTCAGTTGCAGAGACAGAATAAGCAGAGGTACCTGAGAGGTGCTCATAAGTTGGCTGGAAGTCTGAGAAAAACCTTGTTTAAATCAATCCAAAGGTTATCAGGACATCCCTATTTTGCATCTGATCCTAAGAAATGGAATTCCTGTTTTAAGTTCCTAGCATAACAGGTAACACTAGATGTGGGCTGTAGCGGAGTTCAACGTTTTTGCAGATTTCTGACTATTTCACATGCTACCTGGTAACACAAAAGATATGTCTGTTCTCCTTTTCAATGTAGACAACTAGCTTACCCACTTTCACTCAGTAACAAAGCAAACACTCCCTCCTCTAGCTATAAGCAGGGAAACTTTTTGACATATTAATTAATTGTCCCTTTTGGTTCTGTGATTTCTGTAAAACGTCCATACATTCTATAACAGAGTCAGTACATACATTAAACTTTGCGTCTGGCACTGAAAATGGCCACTTGAAACTACATAGGTCTAAATTACTATTGTGTGAGACTGATAAACCACATTATTGTGCATCTTTGTTTGGAAGTGTTGTCTTCAATACCTTTAAAATCATTGTTAAATTCCAGTGACAGATTGTGGTTCTTTTGGCTCTTCTGTTGACTTGCCTGAGTCCTCTAGAAACACTGAGAAAGAAAAGGCTGAGCAATTCCATGATATACCTTCGTTAACCAATACCATGTTTTTATTGCAACAAAAGCAATCTGGTTTCCCTGGAAAGCATCTGTCCTCATGTGACAGCTATACCAAAAGGATGGCTCATCTTTGCACTCTGAAAGAGTAAAGAAGCCAACTGCTAGTGTGAAAGGAGAGACTTACAGTGGTTGGAAAATAGCGACTAGTCTTGAATTTCTTCAGGGCCATGGAGCAGGTATAGGTGCCAAAAAAGAGGATGAAAGACATGAGGGTGATGTCAGGGACATATCCACAGTTGTTGCCCACAAGGTGTCCTCCATATTTCAAGCACTCCTTCTTTGTCAGAGATGACCAGTCAATGGTGGTGTTGTACTGCAGAAAAAAGAACATTTCCATGAAGTCATGCTCACATAAAAACTGCCCATGCTAGAGCAGGCACAGAGACAGAGCATCAGGAAAAAGGTAGGAAAGAAAAAGGAAGCATGGAGCAGGAACTAAAAATCTCTGTGCTTGTGGGCAAGCAGAATGGATTTTAATTCAGAGAGAGGATGATGAACTTTGAACTTTGAACTTAAGACAGTCTAAGGCCTTGGAAAGAAGACAGATCTTTGGCTTAGGTAATAAATCAAAGGCAAAAACTAAGCTCTCTGTTGCAACTCTTCATATAGCAACTTTATATACAAAGGATGGATGAAGCTCCTTTCCATCATACTTTCAACCATGAATGCTCACTGTACAGGCTGACCAACAAACCCAACTACTGCCAGCTTCAGAGAGATATTTCAGCTCCCACTATGGGGCTCCCCAGCCCATCCTGATTTGAATAGTTCATTACTAATGATGACTTCTGCACAGATAGGGAAGCACTACTCGCATTTCATATTTCATCATGGAATCCAAAGCTGCACAGAGCATACTAGATGATCATCTGTTTCCTAATGCTTATGGTGAAGCAGAGCCAGAAAAAGGGTCTTTACCTCCCCCTGCACCTGTATAATTCATAATAATGTCAGTGTAGTGAATGAGGACAGAACAAATACAAATCCACAAGAGAGCAAGAATTTAAATGTGCATAAAGCACTGAGCTCACAAGGCTACTCTAGGTGTGCACAGAGCACATGGTCTTAAGGGAGACTGGGAATGCAGAAAACACATGCTTAATACACAGAAAGTTTAAAATAAATCCAAGTACCTAAAAAATTCTGCGTATCTGACAAGTTTTAGAATCACATTGTCTCTACTGCTCTGCTTCTGCATGAAAACGCAGAGGAAGGAAATAATAGTCCCAGGAACCATAACACAGAGAATTAATATTTAAATTAAAACAATAACAACAAAATACCTCACACTGAATAAATAGAGAGAAGACAGTCTTTTACTCCAAATAGTTTAGCTGTAGAAAAATTATCATGAATGTGGACACAGACCAGTTCAGGCTGACATGCGATTTACCAGAAGAATGATGTTCTTTAGGGAAAGCAGTATGATACAAAATATGCTGTTGCTTAGAAGGAAAATTTTCAGCTAGGGAGATGAGCAAAGTTAATTCCAAGTCTTCAAAATACTTAAGATTCTCGCTGAAGACTAAAGCTTCATGGCCTCATGTCTTACCTATTAGTATCTTGTTCATACGGGTGTACTGAAAAAATACATCACATATGCCTCCAGACATGGGATGGTAATCAAGCGTTCTGAAGCTATGTGTAATAGATTACAAATTCTTCAGCAGATTTTGTGAACTCAAGGAGCTCTAGCTAAACTGAGACATGATTGTGCTGATGGTAGTAGCAGCAGGACGTGGAAGGGAGAAGAAAACAACAATAGAAAAAACAGCTACGTGTTCTTGTTTGACAAAGTGATGATACATTTGCTCTCTCAGCATCGTGTCTCTCTGTGGCATGAAGCAGCAGCAATTTGTCCTACATCAGTGGGGTTTTTGTAAGTCTGCCCTGACTGTTAGCTTCTGGACCACAGCAGACGGTAGAGTGGAGCTGAGAAAACCCGAAGTTTGGGGGTAAATTTTGTACACCATGCATTTGCATGCGTACCTCCCACAGAGTTTGTATGGGAACTTTTGAGTCACAGCCTGAACCACTGATTGTGCACTTGGGGAAAAGACTCTGTCAACCCTGGGAGCACAGGTGAAGGCAATTCAGCTGTGCGACAAGAAGGGGTGGAGCCTGGCTGCACCTCTCCTAGACTCCATTTAAGGGCTGACTGCCATAGGAGAAGGATCTTTCTGGAGATCCTTCCTTAGTGAAGCTTTCCCCTGAAAAAAACTAGAATCTTCTGATACAGGTGAGCAATCTTCTTCCTTTATAGCATCTTTCTGTTGTACCAAACCTTCTATCATCACACCTCTGTTGTAATGCCTTTCCTATCATATTGATCTGTCCTACTGCTACAGAGTTAAACCACCGTGACTTCTGCTTTTCAAGCTACAGAAATAAACCCCAGAGTGTTCAATAGTTAAAATTACTGTTTGGTATTCCAAAGAGCAGAAAGAATGGGGTATCCCTCTTCCCTCAAATCTACTACGTATATGCATCAGTGGTCCCTCCTGGAAGCATTCACAGCCACTCAACCATTTGACTGGCAGTGGATTTGAGACTGCTGGCTGTACCAAAGGCAGAACAGAAACAGAGGGCCACCTGGCAGATGTAAAATAGATGGAAAACTCCAGGACTAGTTGGGGCTCACTTCCCCAGCATGGACCAGGGCTAAAGCAGGAGAGTTCAGCTGCTATGGGGACAGCATACCCCCCCAGCACTTTGCAACATCAGCCAAAGAGATAAAATTGAGTCTGATGGGAGCTGCCTCTGGGCCTGCTGGGTGGCAGGAATGGTGTCACAAAACAGGGCTCTGGGGGAGGAGGGCTGAGATGCCAACATCACTGTTCCAGCAAAGGACAGTCTGGAAATGCAACTTGTTGGGTTCTTTTCTTGTCTCCAGGTCTGAGTTGAGTTCTTTGCCTTCCTCTAATGCATGCCTCCCATCTCCTGAGACTGACAATCAAATGCTAAATACATAAATAACATGAACAGTTTTTCTTCTTAATGAAACGGAAGTGGCAACTGGCACTCTCCTCTTGACAGGTGGATTTAGGCATCTTGACGGCTGGCATTGTGTCAGAGCTCGGGGCTGCTCATCACTTCCCCAAGTGTTATTTTGTGTGACGGGCAGCTGAACAATTAGGCCCTCACTAGCAGCCCTTCCAGAAGCAGTGAATTCAGATGCTCAGGGAAACACAGCAAATTGACACAGGTGGGGCAGTGAGGAAGGCAAGGAGCAGGAAAGGGCACATGAGGTGCAGCATGGCCATCGGACCTTGCTTCTGTTTCCTCACTCTGCTACCAGTCCCTTAGAGGCCTTGGGGGATGCCCTTTCCTTCAGGTTCGTGCCTCACTTCTGTTGCCTGTAGAGTCATGTACAGCACGTCCACATCAGAAGGCCCAGCAGGAGAAGGAGACTACCTGGCACCACACAGAGAGAGCAACATCCTACAAGAAATGCAGACAGGGAGGATCTGTGTTCTTCAGCACAAAGTTACTACTCTGCCTCTCAACCTCCTATGCATAAAACACAGAAATATCTGAACCCATCAAGACCTGGTCTTTCTCATGATCATCCAGAGCTCGCTACTTGAGGGAGGTGTGGAAAAGCCAGAAAAACAAAAAAACAGGATGGAAAACAGGGCCTTCCAGACAGAGAATGGCTGGCCACAACTCTCCTACCATTGCTGCCCTGGCCACAATGAGATCTGCACACAAGGAGCCCACTGATCCCTAGGGAGAACCATTCACCTGACAGCACACACAGCTTCCAACAGCAATGAAGAGGCTGCCATTAGCAAGGAATTGCTGATATCCAGTTGTGCACATGGTATTCTGTATGCAGTGCTACAAGAAATCCCTGGAGGATAAAGTGCAATAGAACTTTTTTATGGCATTTGAGGCAGAGTGGGAGTTTTGATGTGAGGATGCAAGATCAATTACTGCTCTATTTGTATGGCACAGCAGAAACACATAGCCCTTACAGCCTTTAAAAACTACGTAGTCCCTGTCCTTGCAAAGGTGTCTTCTGAGACAGAGAAGTACAATACAAAATGGGGAAATGAAATACATCGGGAAACAGCAAATTTTCAGGCAAACTACAAAGGAGCCCACAAACTATACTTGCAAGCAATGTCACTGGAAAGAATAACTGAAATAAAACCAAGTTGTAAACTGCTGGCTCTGTCATACCACAGGGAGGAGAGCAGAGCTAGGAGCTGCCAGCAGTTTCAACCACGCAAGCGTTTTTTTACATCAACACACTGGAAGGTCATGGTCACAAGCAGACAGGTTATAGGAGAACATGTTCCAAAACGAAGGTTGGAACAGCACTGCTAGAATGAATACCTATTTTAATTTCCACCATTTTGGAATTACTGGTTGATTCTGTTTAATTAAAAAAAAACAATAAGTAGCAAGAGTTGCTTCTTTGGCTCTTAGATTGGCCTGCTGCTTAAATACTGTTGCTCTGCAGAGTGAAAGTATGAGCCATGGAGGGATGCTACTCCCCATTTCTTTCACAGCCACCAAATCCCACACCAATGTTTTCAGAGCCTGCCTTCCTGGAAGCCTCACTTACCATCTCAGCATAGAACGGCCCCTCAGCTGATGACACAGTTGTTCTGTTAAAAAATGAGCTATTATCTGCAAAAGAGAACAGAAGAAAGAATACTGAGAGCACAGTGCCAGAACAGACAAAAAAGAAAAACAAATAGTTTTTTTTAATTACTTATTACTCCTTTATTACTTACGTTTTGTAAGTATTTTTATGTCTGGTAGCACTAAAGAAGTTTTACTAAAACAATGTACAGGGCACAATGGTTTTAACTGGGGAAAGAGTAAGTGCATGTACCTTTTATACTGAAATCATAACAGGGCCTAGATAACTAGTAGAATGCTACCAACCATAGGCAGCCTTTTCAGGCCTCTCAACTCATGATTCTTGCCAGGCCATCAATTTCATCATGCTTGGAAGCATTACCGCAGATTTTGCTGCTGGCATCTTCCTTGTGATGGCACCAACCCCTTTCAGTACAGAAATGCTTGCACACCCCAAGTGTGTAGGGAGTTCTACCCCTGAGACCAGCACCTGAGAGTGTAAAGCTGAACCAATCTGTAAGCCATGTTGCAAGGATGGAACTGAGCCTGGAGAGTGATGCACCTCTGTTCTGGAGACAGGAAGTCTGAGAAGAGGTAGTAGTTAAGTCTTTTTTACAGTGTTTTGTGTTCTTTTCCTGACATCTCCAACTGAATCAAAACCCTCTCCATACATTTCATAGATCAGGTAGAAAGACTTTAGTATTGAGAAGCTCGTCTACTCTGAGCATATTCAAGAAGAGGAATTCAGCAAGAATCATTGCACTGTTGAGCTATTGAGACCCTTCTATGTTCAAGCATGCAGCCTTTATGCTTTGTCAGATGCTCCAGCCTCAGAGGGCCTCACTGTCTGTTGCATTCCTTTCTGGTACCACAGGAACACTCCTCTTTTGTCCTCCCCACTACCTCTTCTCTTCATCTCCTCTCCTTCTCCTTTTCCTCTCCTCTTCTTCTCCCTCCACAGAATACATCAAGAGTGCAGAGGATTTCTTTTGCTGCTTCTGACTTCTCTGCTGACACACGGAGAAACTTTCTATGCAGCTTGATTCTTTCAACTCCAGTCTCAATAGCTGCTATGTGGATTATAATGCTCCTGAAAAAGTGAATGGAGTGTGGTTTTGTGTTTGGGTTTCTCCACCTGCATTGTAAAACAGTGCATGTTACTCAAAGACACAGACTCGAGGTACAGGGATCATGGAGAAGTCTCTGCATGACACACTGTGTAATTATTTACACAATTATTTAATCCCATCAGTGATTTCAAAGGCATTATTGTTGGGTCTTGCCTGACTTCACACCCTAATTAAAGGCTTTCCAGTTCTAAATGAAGAAAGTTTTCTTTCCACCTGTATGGTGGAGCAGCATTGACTGCTGGTATGGCATCTTTGGTGCTGGTTACATCCTGTGCTTACCAAGCCTGGTCCCTGCTTGCAACTTATTGGAGGCTTAAGGCTGGCAGCCTGGCCAGCTTCTCATCCTATCAGCAGAACACATCTGTGTGAACATCTGTGAGAGCTTCTATGTGAGTGGGCTGCAAAACAGGGCATGTGATGGGACTGGGGAGATACTGCTCTCTTGGCTGAGGCCTCTGTGTGCGGGTGTGTGTAGAGAACAGAGCAGAAACTGAGCAATGCAGACTCTAAATGCAAATCTCAATGACAGAAATGAGAAATAACTTTAAAAAGCCTAAATCAGTGCATGGGGGACTTTGCTGCTGCTACCTGCTGCATGACAGAAGAAAAATTCCTCTGCAGCTGTGACAAGCAGCTGATGTGGAAACTTGTTTTTTTTAAGAGGAGTAAGAATCAAATCTATGCTGGATGCTCTCTGGGTTTGTGCAGAGACACAGCTACACAGCTATGCATAATTGCAGGGGTGCCAAACTGTCACCAACCAACAGATGAGAACACTGAAAGGGTCCGCCTATTGCCAAGAACCCTTAATATAAATACCTTAAAAAAATACCTTAACCCTGGCACTTGCACATGCATAGGACTCTTGTTTTTCAAGATGTTTCAGAGTGAGTTTAAATATGGGATCACTGTGCTGTTCTCTTCCCAGGTAGTCCACTGTTTCCAATCATCCTCAACTCTGGTAGTTTCTGAAATGCAGACGTTACTCATACTGTGAAAGTCTCTGTGCCTGAGGTGCCACACACCCACACACATCTATGCAGGAGAGATTGGTGTGTCTGAAGTGAAGTTCTAGAGGGTTGCCTGAACAGATTGCTGACAGTATATCCAGTATTTTGTGCTCACTCCTCCTATTCAAAGTTTATTCAGTGTTAGTTCAAAAACTATGGAAGAAACATACGAAGATGATGACAACTTCCACCCTCCTGATAAACCCCAAACAACGCAGTCAGTAGGATCCATCTACTGGCTCAAGACCAGCAAAGAGTTTACTGATCCCTCTCTACCTCCTATTTCAGGACACCTCCATCTCAGTTCAACTACTGGCCCAGCTCTGCCTAAGGTGAGTTAGGCACATGGATGTAAAGGTATGTATATACACATGCACAGGTGCTCACAACGTTGGACTTCCATGGTATGAAAACTCTGCTGCTCTACTCTGGGATGGAGTAGAAACATCAAGCAAGGCTTTAAGAAGGAATCATTTGATTTAAAATCATCTTTACCTTCTGAAATAATCATTTGGCTAGCAGGCAAAGAAGATGAAAAGAGAATCATGACAGCGATGGTTTCTGAACCTTATCAAACAATGCATGCTAATCCTTCTCCCATTTGCTTACGAAGGTAGGGATTGGCATTGTATTTCTGGGCACAAATCTCTTACAAAATGAAACAACTCACTCCAGCTCTACCATCACATTTGTCCTGTGCAGTGGGTCCGTGCCCTAGGCATTTATCTAGGAAGCTGAGACTTTTCCAGCATTGCATTGTTAGACAGAAACATGATCAGACTAACTGCTCAGCCACCAGGAGAGAAATCACCCTGCCATTCAAACAGAAGGAGAATTAGACCAACACTGAAGTGCTTGCAGTGACCCTGTGTTTAATAGCTAATGTAAGTGTTCAGTTTCCAACATCTTTTGCAAAGAGGCAGCTAGCAGCAGCCAGATTATTTTCCTGCTTGATAGGTATGTTGAGATGATATGATGTTTACTTTGAGTACAGATAAAGTTGCTTACTCAGTTCTTATTGTTGGAAGAATCCTAGGAGAGATTTACAGCTTCCCTAGTGGTAACAGCATTACTTCCGTTTGGTATCTGTTTTGTAACCTTTTGTTCCCGGTTGAATTACCAGACCTATACATATTTTGGCTACACTTGCTTTGCAGTCCACGTTCTAGTAATAGACTGAATTGATGGATATGCTTCCCTTCTACTCTAATGAGGACTTCTTCATGCTTTTCCATTCATACGTGCAGCCAGGAAGTGCAAAACCACCCATGTTTGGATAACGCACTGAATAAATCCAGCTCCTGTCCTTTGTCAATACCACACGGCAGATACCAGGATTGACTTCAGCACCACAGCAGTGCCCTTGACACCACTTCTGTGAGCCTTCCTAGCTTTCTCAGAGAAACACCATTCAGAATAAATGGCCACATATTTGTGAGGAGACATAGGTACGCAGACAGCTTCTCCACTCCTAACAGCGCTCACATGAGGAGTGTCAGAAGGGTTGGCTAGAAAGAAATTCCAGTTGGCACACAGGATAAAATATATACTTCTGCTTGAAAATTTTCGAGGCTAAGATAAGATATTGGAAGAAAACTGATAAAGAAGGATTTATTTACTTCTCTGTTATCTGAGCCACAGTGCAACTGATAAATAAATGAATGAATAAATAAATGAAAGCAAGTGAGATTTTGTGTTGGCAAATCAGAGGGTCAGTAAAGTATTCTCTTACCTGGACCCAGTGGTTCACAGGCACAAGAATAATGTGTGATATAGTCCACCTTGAACTCGGAGTTGATAGGGTAATAATCTGCCAGCTTGATCATCTTCTTGAAAGCATCATAAATGAAGATGAAGCTAATAAGTGAGGAGAAACCTTCTTCGGTGAAGCGTGTGAAGTACTTGACCAGGAAGCTGGCATCAGTAGCAACAAGAATGAGACACTGGAAGGCTGACCAGAGGCCGATCCAGAGACGAAACTCCAGGTAGTCAAAATCGTTGTCTCTGCAACAAGACACAGGTGGCAGGGAGGGAAAATATCAGGGATTAGAAAAATCCATACAGAATTAGCACTTTCTAGTGAGAAATGGTGAATGTAAAGCCTCTGGGGCCAGGGCTTATTTTAGATTAAAAAAATTGTGCCCAAATACTAAGCTGTTTTCAGCCAGCCAACTCCATAAAAGTACATGGTGCAGTTCAACGGCTGAGGTGACAGAAAAAGCTTGCAAAAGTGATCGTTCTTGCTTCTGCTTCCATTAATAAATGCTACCAATGAATTCAAGCTCTTTCTAGGCTTCCCAGTATAAATCCTGCCTTGGCAAACACACACAGAGTTGTAAAGGGCCAAGCATCCAGCCACCCAGACCAAGAGCAGTTGAACTTGGACAGCTTTCCACTAGCTGCAGATTTAACTACAGTTTACAAATCTCCTTTAGAAAAGCAATTTCCTGCCAAGCTTCTCACTCAGAAGCCTGCATTTCTATGTCTCACACCCTTGCATTATCTGCAAAAAAATACCAGCAGCAGATAAAGAAATGTAGAGCCGAAGATGACAAACTCGGGTGCCAGGATGTGACAGTTGTGAAGGGATGATGGGGTGAATCATATCACTCCTCCCTGGTAAGTTTATTTGCTGCGGGAGACTTCCATGCTCTAACTGCACTGAGTTCAAAGGGAGGCTTTTAGGACCAAAGAAATACGAAAATCAAAAAGCAGAGAAGGTAAGACTCTGCCAAGGTAGACTGCTGCCCATTCTGGGAAAGGGAGTAGGGGGCAGCAGGGTCCCAGCCCCAGCTATTTCTCCATGAAAGCAGCAGCTCTGCCCTGCTGGACTGTGATGACAAAGGAGGAGGAGCATCTTCTCTGCAAAGTCTCAGAGCAAGGTCTCTGACAGCATCAGAAAGCTGCGAGGAGACCACAGAGTCCAGGAATCCCTTGTTTCCCCCAGCTATATCAAGTCTGCTAAGAAAAATGAATGCTGCTCCCTGTGAATCTTCTTTAGAAAATATTTTAGAAGAGGACTTCTGCTCCTTCAAGACACCTTAGGAATGAAAGCTGCACTAGATAACCACCCATAGCTCTGAAACACAAAAGGAAGACGACACTCTCAAAGACATGAGGGAGAAGGAAACTGTTAAGCTGCCCTGAGGACAAATCCTCCCAGACCTGTTTGCAGTGGGAAGTGCTGGTCAGCTCCAGGGAGCTGAATGTGCCTCAGGGATGGCTTAGCTCCTAGTATGAGGGATGGTTTTAGATGAAACACCTGGCAGAGTAATGTGGTGAAACAGGACGTCTTCAGAGCTGGTAGCAGGTTGGTTCCACTCTGTATTCAGGTCCCCACTGCAGGCAGACTCCCTCCAACTTGGTGTGACAGAGAATCCTGTCAGCATTTGCCCACAGGCAGCAAACTGCCGCAGCTCAGTGCCATGCTCCATGATTCCCCAAGTACCTAACCTGCCACCAGGGGAATGCTGGCAGACAGAAGGGCTTGAAGACAGTTTTCTAGTACACAGTACAAAACTGCAGAGATCCTGAATTGGAAGAATTACACCTAACTGGAGGGAACTGCAGTCTTACAATTGTAAAGTGGGAGAAAATGCTGAAGACTTGGCAAGGTCCCAGTTAAAGGCTTGCTACTGGGCAGTGCCATGCATTCCTGTGAGCCTCCTGGGCCAGGGTATTGTAGGCTCAGGCACTGTCACGCACCTGCCTTCAAAATGAGTCTCTGCAATGCTTTCTCCTCCTTAGCACTCTGTAAAATGGGAGCAGCAGTCCCAGGCAAACCACCAGCTCAATATGGTAATAGCTGTGGGTGCATGAGTCCTCATGATTCTTTAATTAGTAGCAAATTTGAAATAAATTTACATGTAAGTGTTTTATTATATACTCTCAATGAAATTCTTCAGAGCAGAGTTGTAATGTTTGATTTGCTACACCAAATGAGGGGGGAGTGAAAAGGAAAAGGATCAGCACAGCAAAAGAGGCTGATACAGAACTGCACTGTGCTGCTAACGAAGACCCAATCATGACGTATTTTGAATTTCTTTCAGGAGTGCTAGCTGTCATTCAGTAAAGGCTTTCTTAGGCATCTGCACAGACACAGATGCATTCACTTTAAATGAATCAGTAGATGGCAAGGCTTTCTAATTTTGCTCCCAGCAGGGAAGAGGGTGCTGTGAATATGAACAGCCACAAACGCATTATTGAAAATCACAGCACTTGATTCCAATTTCCTTGTGAGAAAGGCTCCCTCAAAAAATCTTGTCCTTCTGCCCAAGCAGGTTGTTAGGACAATTGCTTTTATAATCAAAATCTCCTCCTCTAATTAAAAATAACCCCCTTCTTCCCAAAACCATAGGAAATGTTTTCCCATCTTGTTTTTTTTTTTTTTTCTTTTTTTTTTCTAACTTTGATGTGAAGCATCCAGGCTTAGACCTGCAAGGTAGATTCAAACAGCTCCTAATTTTATTCATTCTCTTCCTGATTTTATTCTTTCATAGCCATCAAAGAAAGAAAAGAAAGGTGCTCTCTCTTCCTGACCCACTACAGATCTCACCAGTGGGTAGTTTCCAGTTTCCCTCTCCAGGCTTGTCTGATTTTCCTCCCATTTTCTCATTCCTGTTCACCTATGTACCAGCAAGGAGAACAGAGGGTCTGCACAGTCCATCTCTCCTCTGCTGCTGACTGGAAGGATCATGGAGCAGTGCCTTGGAGAGCAGCAACCCTAGGGAAGGCAGGAAGAGACTGCATACCACTTTAAGGTCCAGCAAGTCTCTCCATGGCACCTGCAACTCCAAGATGAACCTCTGCCTGTGTTGGCATGAATAAGGCTCTGTTGAACAGGGACTGAAGAGCAGCACAAGGCCAACCTGGCTTAAAATCCTACAATAGATTATAAAATAGTGCTAACTTGGACAATATGGAATGAGAATCAGACCTGATCTCATCCTGAGTTGCAGGACCTTTGCAGACAAGGACCACACTGATACAGGTATTATCAATTAAATTTGCTGAGCAAACGTTACCAAAGCATTCCTGTGTATGTTGGGTGACATATAAATACACTGTCTGCCTAGCAGAGGTTCTGTGCCTCAGAAGACTCCTCCTACATCTACAGTACTCACAGGAAAGACAGAGTCATATTTCATCCACTCAATTATTTCTGAGTAAGTACGTACACAGATTAAATGTAATGAAGGAGATACAATTAAAGAGACAAACATATACCATGTCTCCTGCCTTATTACAACCTGCAGCCATGTTTACCTTAATAATTCAATTAGAGCTTTTCTAAAAATAACTGCAAATGGTAGAAAAGCTGTTCCATGTCACAGGCAAGTGCTCTTGAAATAAAGCACAGCAACACCTTAAAACCAAAAGTTCTCAATTTTTTGTCCTGCTATAGAAGTCTTGGCAATGCTGTGAACTCTCCTTATCTCCTTGATATAAGGAACGAAGACAAGAGATCTGGCAAGTTTTCCGTACAACTTAAAGTTGTCAATTTCCTAAACGTTATCCAAAACATCAGCAGTCCTGCATGTAAAATTATCAGTGAATATGCTGATTCCTTTGGGCACTCATTATATTTTGCCAGCTTTACAGATACTTCAAATGAATATTGACTTAGAACAAATTTTTGGTAATCTTGAGACCTGTTGCATTTTGTTATGTGATTTTGTTTCTTTCTTCGCTCCTTTCGGAAACACAGCAATCAAGGAAAACACGCACAGCAGTCAGCAGGGAAGAGTATGCTGAAAGCATTGCAGGCTTGGCACAGGCTTGGGCACAGGCTTGAGCACAGGCTTGGCAAAGCATTTCCAAAAGGCTCAGCAGAGACAGACCCCTGTACACCAGGCAGTGCTCTGGGCATACGTGCCTGGGAAAATCCCTATGTGATTGCACTGCAGTCTCAACAAGGAACAAATGGATGTTTCATTTCATACACTAAATCCCCTCCTTCCCCCCCACAAGCCATCTCATTCCCTAGCTAGCATTTTACTCATGCAAGACATTCCTCCCCTCCTCCCCCTCTCCACCCTTTCACTTACTTGCTGAAATTAAAGAGAAGTCGTTCAAAGACAAGGACAGGTCCCGTGCTGCTTAAAATAGTGAGTGGCTGGCCAGCAAAAAGGCAAAATATCGCTCCGGTGACTGCTGTGCCCAGAAAACTCTCCAACACCCCCTGCAGTAGAGACAGAAGAGATGTTAGTTCTGCTAATAACCCTTTCTGGTAGCACTGTTACAGGAAAATCAGTCACTACAGTGGTGACTAGTAGGGTGCTGTATGTTGACACATCCAAGGTAAAGGGAAGAATATCCTCTGCCTTCTCCTGCAGCCACAAAGAAAGATTTATTCACCTTGCGCAGTTTACAGTTATTTGGGATAACCTGCAAACCCTATAGTTATTTCTGAGGCAAAGTTTAGTAACACTGTATTGTATTTTATCATCGACAAAGTGAGGAAAGTATGTTCAAAGACCACCTGAGGGATATGATCTCTTAGATCATCTGCATCACACATCTGCAGAGCTCCCCAAACTGACAGGACAGAGCATGGCTACACAATAGTCCTGACGTCCTCTAGAACATCACAGATTTTATTTTTTTTTGCTCCTGCCCCTAACAGAGCAGATTCTCCTAGATAAACAAGATGCCACTCTTTCATGTAACTCCTAGTAAGTGAGATACGAACCAAACAAGGCTACTTCATCCAGCAGTCCTTTACTGAAACCCAAGTTCATCAGATGTCACCAGCAAGTTGTAAATTCCATATGTAATGGACTCTACAACTTTGGCATGTGTGGCAAAACAGCTTCACTGGGGAATGATAAATGAATGTGCTTGATGTGTTATTGGATTTTCATCAAAACCATAGCTGGGCAATGCCTATTTTTAAAACGCAAGCTGTTGATGCAATATAAATAGCATTTTTTTCTTGCCCATAATATGATTATTGACAGAGCATCCGTCATTAGATAAAAATGGCAGAAATAGGTGGACCTTACCTCATTTGCTCTTATCTAGACTAATCTGTTTTTACATGGACCTGGACTCTCTATTTAAGCTGTGTTTGTCACCCTTACCTGAACTGACAACCCTTGCTCAATGATGAGGTGAAGATTTAAACGCAGACTTATGTGCCTTGTTGTGGCTGTGTCTGAATCAGCAGCCTGAGCACTGCACATGCTGAGCAGTCACAATTAAAGGCACACTTAAAGAAAGAAGATCCTTCTTCCACCCATGACAAGCTTCAGGGTTGGGGTGCCATTTTTCTGACTTATCGGTAGTAACAAAGAATTTAAGTTTTGTGCCTCCATTTCTTGGAAGGACCCAAGTTTCTGTTGACACTGTATTATGCTGTCACAAGTCAAACCAGTACGTCACCAAGTACAAGCAGAAAAAAAAATTATCTACTGAATTACTTGCAAACTTTCAAAGGAGCAATGAGGAACTATTTTTCTAGACACAAACATGATCTCAAAATACCAGTGTCAAGCTGGTGAACTAAAGCAGCAATAGGACAGCTGTGCCAAGAAGCAAAAGGCAAGGAAGATTTGAAAGTTGTCTAGTCCCTGCCACATGTTAGTCACTTGTCAATCTAGAAAAACTACTAATGTGAAAGGAGTGGAAACAACCAACCTTGCCTCTGCATAAGGTGCCATCCTTTGTGTTTTCCATTTTTAAATGCTATTGGGAATGCCCATCACTAACAGTCACTAATTGATCCATGCAAGGGAATACTCACTGAGAAGCCCTACTCAATGCGAAGCCCTGCAATTTTCATACAAAGATTATAGTTTGTCTTACAGGGGATGCAGACAGGAGCCTATAAGCCTTCGCTCACTGCTTTTGAGGGACTTGTGAGGATGAAACAATTGCTCTCAGCAAAAGGAATGGCATCTGCACAGCTGATCCCTCTTCGCTCCTCCTGCACTACTCACAGAGAAGGCCCGTGTGGCCGGTGTGCGGGCTGCAGAGCATCTGGAATCTCTTTTCCCCTGCATTCTTCCATGTGTTTGCAGCTAAGAATAGTGTCTTTTCTCAGAAACAGAAAACTATGAAGTGAGCTTTTAGAGAAATGCTGGCCATGTCAGGCACTCCAGGACAGACGGTATACCCTGGGCAGTTCAGAGTGCCTGATCCAGGGCTAGTTATGTAGCTGTTTACAAAAAGCAAGAAGCACAAATGCTGTAGTTCCTAGAACACTGCTTTATATGAGGATAATACATCTGTGAGTAAAAACCTTTGGAGGCTGCTCCTCAGTCATAGGAGCTGATGTAAACTAGAAGTTAATGAGGCTCTGCCAATACAAAAACATCCTGGGAAGATGACCTGTGACAAAGAGCCCTTTCACTCTCTCTTCACAACACTGGAGCTTGTAGTGAGGGTCAGGTCTTGTGCTTGCATTAGTTACCTTCCTCTATGTTTTTGAGAATGAAGATCCCATGCAGCTCATACTGTTAGATGTCTTGTAGAAAACCACACTTCTGAACTCTTTTCCACTACAGAAGTACAGAGTGGTTTGGACAACACTTGACCTGAACCTGGATTCTCATCCTTCTGAGCAGTTCCCTGCAGGAGTAACTTGAACTGCTTGTCTTGGGAAGCTTCACACAGATTGATGGGACAGGAGCACTTGAGCACAAGCATCACACCATTTTCTCTTCTGTTGAAAAGCAGCAGTCAAAACCTCTTCCAGGCTCCCACAGCAGTCTTTTATACCTAACGTCTTTTCAAAGAATGACAGTGAATGAAGGTTTGTTGAATGGAGATGATGACAGAAAAGCTAGTTTGTGCCCAGGCTTGCTGAGCCTCTGATCCACCAGTGAACTGTTCAGAGAAACTAAAAGTGCTTCCATTTCAAATTATTAAATAAATAAAAACCAGCAAATTCAATTGGTTGTTACATGCACTTGTAAGCTGTACCACCTCCACCTGCTTTATTTGCCCAAAGCCAGTAGCAACCTCAGCAGATAATTTCTTTCTCTGGTGAATCTCCTTGCTGTTCATATAGACACAACACCCCAAGAGGAACAATGATTCTTAGGATTGCTGTGAGTCTGTGGGAGTTCTCAACATTTCTGCACCTATGAGGACTGGGTTCAGGAGAGAAATTTTAGAAAGACTGAACTAAAATCGGGCCCCAGAAACATATGAACAGGCCAATTTTAGCTCTGCAAATTGCTGTGTCGGAGAGAAATATCTGAGAGGCTGTTTCCCTCCTGAGAACAAACACCTGGGAATCAACGGGCAAAGCATTCAGCAGAACTTGAGTGCTTGCTTTCTGCTTCTCCTTGTATCTTTGTCATAAATGGCTGCACTGCATTAATATTTGCTCCAGAACTTCCCTGCTACCAAAGTGATACTTTTAACAGAGTATCAATGGTTTCCCTCCTCAACATGGAGAATAAAACAGTGGGCTCAAAACAGGCAGTTCCTGCAGCTTTTGTCTTTTTCTGAAGAGTGGGAAAATGTACGCTGAGTTCTATCAACTTCAAAGTAAGCCCAAGGAAAGTGAGGCAGTTGCACTATCAAGCAAATCAAATCTGGCAGCACCACCAAGAGGACCCTCTTATTAGGAGGAAGTTTTTCACACAGAGGGTGGTGACACACTGGAACAGGTTGTCCAAGGAGGTTGTGGATGCCCCATCCCTGGAGGCATTCAAGACCAGGTTGGATATGGCTCTGGGCAGACTGGTCCAGTGGTTGGCGACCCTACATATTAGCAGGGTTGAAACCAGATGATCATTGTGGTTTCTTTCAACCTAGGCCATTCTATGATTCTATGACACCTATGGAGGACATCTTTTGGTTTTTACTTTGCTGCTGGAAAAACAGGTGCCAAAGGTAGTAATTTCCTACTGCTGCAAAACAAAAAGGAGTACATTTTTCTCTTCCATTGATCCAGCAGCCAAAACAAAGGACAGCAAAATGTGTGTTCCTTTTGAGCAATATAGCCAAGTGTAAGCAATAGGATTGTCTCTGCTTAATTCAGCAGTCATTTTACCATTTCTCAGATGAATGACATCTCCAGGTTCTTGAAATACAAGGTGTTTTTGTTTTGTTTGTTTTGTTAAAAAATTACTTGAGGTTTTTCTATGTGAGCATTAGGAAACTATACTGTATGTTTCAGTGCAAAAACAATTTTTGCCAACTTGATAAATGCTAACCGAATACAAAGGTATCAAGAAGGATTTTCCACATAGGAAACATAATTATATGCACTAAATTTGGAATCAGGTAACATTTTTCCTTCCTCCCCCTACTCTAAATATCGTTCCTTGTTTTAGTTCAGAGCAGGCAGGCTTTTCTTTGCTGCTTAGCGATAGAAGAGTGATAATCCCTGGTGAATCCTGGAGGCTTTTTCATTCTCTGCTTCCATTTGCTGTTATTACTTTTTAAGATTGGGCATTGTGCATCTGTTTGTACAACTGCTGCAGATTTGAGTTTTGGAAGTGGAAAACCATATTTATCCAAGGGGAGGGATATCTAGCACTCCATCAGCCTTTGAATCTTCGTCTAGCCTATAATTTATGATAGGGAACTCAGTAGCTCTGGAAAGGTGTCCCCCTTTTCTATGTTTGTTTAAATTAAATTTACATAGTCGAATAATTCAGTCACTGTCAATATGAGCTTAACTATTATTAGGACATTCAACTTGACTGCTCTGAATCTATTTAAATAAAAGTTCTTACATTTACTTCCTTGTTAAAAGAACAAAAAAAATCCTAATATGCATAATTCTGCCCCAATCAAACACAATCTAGAACAGTGCTCTAACAGAGTTCCTTTCTTTTACGCTTCATATATAGTTATGCCATGCCTTGAAGCCCCTACTTTTGTCTACTGCTGATCCAGTCAGTCTCTGGAAATAAAATACGCTTCCCAGAATCTAATCTTCCATTGTCATGGAATTCACCTTTCTAAAGAATTTTCACTTTCCTCCTCTACCACACCACCTGTTTCATTACTTTCCTATCAATCTTAGTGTTTTCTTTTTAGCAGAGAGGCAGAAGTCCAGAGATTGTTAAGAGTTGTACGAGTCATGCAGAGAATACAGTGCTATGCTCTGATGACATGGAAAGTTTGAATCAGACTTCGTAAACTTAATTTGACTGAAACGGTACAACCAAGACAAAACACAGAGAGTAATCCGAGGAACTTCTCTATATAGGAGCAAGGATTCTTACTAAGTTTTTCTCTGTTGCCTGGCCATCTTTCAAATTCCATTTAAGGTAATGGTACAATTTTTCAACGGACAGCCGTCCAACAGCAGAGAAAGAAAGCCAGTTTTCAGTAGAAGCACACCATTCCTCTATTAATGTGTTCAGAATTCAGTTCTGAGTGTAGACAGCAAAAGGCAAGTCAGCTCTGATTTATTCATTGCGTCTGAAAGCTATTGCTAACCTGCATGTTTTCCGTAGCATCACCAAGCAGTCCTCCAAAAGTGATAGCATTGGTCACTGTGGCCAGGTAGATGAAAAGAATGGCTGAAAGGGCTTGAATATTTAAAGCATCATAGAAGTCACTGGCGAAGAACGGTGCTTTCCTCTTTATGTCTTTGATTAAGCCACCACAGAATCTGAAAAGACAAGCAAGAGGAGACTTGCATAAAATGTTTTACAGTGAAAGTCACTATGATAAGTAATTGGAAACACCACCAGAAATGAAGGATGATCTGAAAGGAATGAGGTCATCACATTACTTAACAGTCTTATCACAGCTGCGATGGTCCAGGGATATCACTGACAGCGTAAGAAAGATAATATCTTTCATGATGTGATGCTGCTGGAAAGTGATCGATTTCAGAATCACAAGCCCTACGTCTGCTAAAACAGACCACAAAAGCTTGCAGTTCAGGAAGCTCGTATGGTTTTTCTTTCCAACCCCCAATTGTATTGGTTGAGCTAATAAAATCTATTAATTCCAGTCTAAATCCTTGCCTAAATTTCTCCACGTGGCAGACACAATGGTTGGGTGAGCCAACAATCTACTAAATGGAAAAAATGTTTCAAACTATTAACCACAAAAAGAACTGGAAATAAAAATGGAAGCAAGTGAAATCATCTTGGAGAGCTCCACCTGCAGACATATTCTTTTTGTACAGTCCAAACAAAACAATGTTTAACTCACAGGAACTCAACACAGCTCTGATTCTATCAACATGAAAAAAATTTTGTTTTGCCTCTTGTTCTCTTGCATGCTGCTCTCCACCAACAGCAACTTGTATCTATTTAATACATAATAATTCAGCTGCCACCTGAGCTAAATAACTGGAAAGCCCCTCATCAGTATCTCTGCAAGACTGTTCAGACACTGTACACAGAGCCATGGGGCAGGTAGGCACACATTACATTCAGATGCTGAACAACAATTTATTAACTGCCCTGTACACATCAATGTGTAACTTCAGACTTTCAGATTTTTCCCTCACAATTTAAATATTCTTCTAAAAGCTAAAAAATATAGGAGGGAGGTTACAACAGCAACACAAAAACCTGTATATTGATCCTGCAATACTAAGCACATTGTTTGACAGCCTCCTGAACTGCATCCCCACTCTAGTGGACTTTTATGTAGCATACAGAGTAATAAAAGAGAGAGATAGCCCTCAGGCTCTGTTACCTTCCGTATTTATATCCTATAAAAGCCTTCATCTGTTCAATTGCACTGTAACAGGAATGTCTTGAAAATAGGGCTTCTCTGCTTATGGCTGAAGCGCTTCCAGCAATCTGAATGGAAAATGGAGCTGTACCTGTCATGTTTACACTCCTTACAATTTGTCTAAGTTCACAAGCATGCAGTGTGCCAGCAGGTACCTTTCACTTTTGAGTGCCTTGTTTAAGACACTTCATAATTCGTCACTACTAGTTGTTCAGAACCTTTCAGATAGTCTCAGGATGGGTGCTCAAAACCACAGCGTACGATTTGGGGTTACAGCTCAACCTGCATAGATTGAAACGGTATTCCAAGGTGGAAAGTTGAAAGGATGAGAATTTTCTGAAAGGAAAACACAATCATGTTGGATGGATCACACCAGCTACTGCACACCAGCAGTGCATTACTGACCTGCCAGTTCGCTGCAGCTCTTCGCAGTCCCCGTGGCCCCCACCTCCATGTCCTCCATCATGAGGCGTGTCTCCATTCATCTGCAGATTTTCTCCACCAGAGTACATGTTTTTCCTAGGCAAGAACACAAGCCAAACTGAGGCTCACTGCATTACCTAATGGCTCCACAAAATAGAAACCACATAATGTCCCACTACAGAGGTATTAGCCTTTCCTGAAGCCATGCTATATAAAGGAGGCTAGAAAGCTGATTTACTGGAGCCAGTGTGAAACACAGCGTGTTAGAAAGTGCAAGCAGAACACCAGAAGTGTCTGGATACCCATTATATATCACCATATCCCTGTACCACTGCTCCAAAGGGTACAGAATTGCAAGAACATCCACTTCCACAATCTACGAAGATAGACGTGAAAATATCTCCAGTGCTTTCTAGAGAAAGAGATGCAGACACAGATCCCCCTGGAGTTACTTGATAAACTTGGTGCACCCAAGCAGCAGCAATTCCTCTCACTTTTTCAGAACTGACACACAGAGGTAACCCTGCCCTGTGACCTGCTCTTACCTTTTATCTGAAGATGGAAGAGATTTGGGGGGCTCTATCCTAATAGCTGGATCCCATTCCCCAGGGGGGAGCACAATGACTTCATCTAGAAACTCATCAATGCCAGCGATCAGGTCCTGCCTGTCTTTGGCTTTATAGGCAATGTCGTGGAACACCTGCAAGGAAAGGAGAGACTCCATACAGCAAAACTTTGTATTTTGTATAGCTGAAAGAAAGATAAAGCCCTTTCCTTTGGTTATTTAACGACAAAGATGCTTTCTTGCAGGCATTTCTGATTTTTTGCAAACTGTGTTTTTATTTTTCAAAAATACTACCAATGCAATTGTCCACTTCTTTCATTTAAAAAAAAATCCAAGAGTTCAATTATACTTTGAAAAGATACTTTAACAAAGCAACAAAGAGCATATCTTCTCATCAGCTTGACTCTATTAAAAAAGGGTTGTTTTCAATTCTGTGAAATAGAAATGAGGATAATATTTACTTAGTAGTAACAAGAAGTACAAGCCATTTTTACTGAAAGGCCTTGTGGTAGTATTAGGAGTGAGATGAGAGAAGAGGGAAAAAGCCAGCAATGATGTGGAATGTTAAATAAATACTTTGGACTCCTTGGAGGGTAGGTGGCACATCCAATCAGACTTCTGCAGTAATTACCTGGAGTGCATCTGTGGGTTTCTGTGATTGTGGAATGAGACACAACATGCACTGCATGAATTCATGGGTTAATTCCAAATCTATTTGAGAAAATGATTGCTAGTGAAGTGAAACCGTATTTCACGGAGAACCTATTTCATGGAGGATATTAATAGAACACAATAGAATAGGCATTCTGTTGGAAGGGACCTTCAAAAATCTAGTCATAAAGGCACCTACCTCATCAGACATGAGGGTAGCAATGGCTCGGCCAATCTCATGATATGACTTTGCTTTGCCCTTAGGTCCCAGTAGAATGAAGAGAAATCTGTGAAAACACACCAATTGTTCCCATTTAGGATAGAAAAATCAATCGCTTATTCCTTATACCTTATCTACACTGAAAGTCAACTAAAAAAAAAACAAAACAGAACAACAAAGGTTTTGCCCTTGTTAGAGAGATCTGGAAGCTGCCAGTGGCAGCTCAGCCAGCGATCAGTTCACTGACATGAAAGGTACAATCTCTACTGCTTTCGGTAGCCCCAGAGGTTAACAAGTGAAGAGCACTCTAGACAATTTCTATCTGAACCCATAAGACCATGTTTAGCTACACCACATGACACTTCAATATTTAATTCCACAGCAAACTCCAGGGAAGAATTACACGAAGCACCAGCAGTTGTCATTTATGCCATATAGTAGTTTTCAGAGTTATCACCTCCCTTAGATCAGTAGGAGTTAAGCAACTCCAATAATCAGGCATTGCATGCATAGGAGGCACTGTGGACAGGACTTGTATGGATTTCCAATTTTTACACTGACTAACGATGTAAGTACTTTAGTTAACTTGGAGTACAGGTTGTACCCTACGTCCCAATCATTCTTGCTTTGGCAAGCAAGATACTACCCAGAGTTTTCCCCCCAAAAATATTAAAATTAGCCTTGAGAGCACTACAGCAGTCCTACACAGAAGTAGTATCATCCAGCAATGAATGTACAGGAAGAAGGAAGGACCCAGTACCCAGAAATGAACTGTGTGCAAGAGATGCAGATCCAGTGCAGGATGGTTCAGACTGCATACTCTGGTACACCACAGAAAGCCTATCCACTACCTTAAGATTTATTCAATCATATGTTACAGCTCTTTAATCCTTGTATAAGGCATGTGCATTAAATATTTCCCTCTTGCTATTTCAGGGTCACTTAAGTGATGGCATCAGTGATATAACTGCTGAAGAATAGGTAGGAAGGGACAGAAGATCTAAGAACTGCTTACTCTGCCCAGTTCCACCTTGACCTGAGCATCCTCTCTGCACAATGGATGATGGAACAAGCAGGGCAGCACAGTTCCAAATAGACAGGTAAGCATTCGGGCCAGCAAAAAGAACAAAGCTGGGGCAAGATGCTATTAACCGTCAACATCGCTTACCATAAACTACATCTCTCTCCAAACACTTATTTCCCAGAGCTACCAGATAGCAACCTGTCTACTTACTAGTGCTCTGCTGAGGCTGAGATCTCTGTATGGTTCAGCACCTAAAGTACCCACATTTGAAGGATCTATCTAAATAGCGTGTAAGCTATAAATAATTAAAGCTCAACTTATATGCCTTGAATTTCCACTCAGAGCATACAACACATACCAAAGACCTGTAAAACCATCTGGTGGCTTTGCAGTCACATCTGAATTCTTAAGGAGACAACTTGATTTTTGAGGTATAAGCTTATTCCTGATGTAGGTACGATACAAGCTGACCAGAAGTACAAAATACTGGGAATTAATTTCTTACATGATCTCTTCAAACTGCAACAATATCCAAGCAGGCATCTGTTAACTGATACAACACAAAGGGGAAGGCCGTACACCTCGTGTTGGCTGTGGAAACAGGTTTCCTGTAATTTCCCTACTCAGATTTGTTTCAGAAAAAGATTTGGATCATGGCTATGAGATGGAAAACCATCTATCTCTATGCTCACTGTTATGCCAATTGGGATGTTCAGAAAACCTTATTACTTCCACTGGAAATCTCAGGCAGTGGCTACCAATCAGTGGACTTCAATGGAAACCAATCTGATTGTGCCATTTTAAGTGTTCATCCTAAGCTGACTTGTTACTGGTACTGGTTACTGGTAACCTTTAGAAAAAAGTCACATCAACGCATCCTTGCAATGAGCAACAAAAGAAAGCACAATGGAGAAGACCAACTATTCCATTTCACCTAATTTAGCAAAAGCTGGATATCATTGGGGCAATTTTTCAGAAAGCTCTGTGTTAGCCTTTTTCAAACAGAAACAACTAACAGCTGCCCAAAACACTTCTAAGGCTTCCTGAATTAAGAGCTTTTCCAAATACACCCATACTTTACAATCAGTAATGGAAAATGAATACACACATCATAACATTTGCTAAGGTATTTCATATAAGCCCCTCTGCATTACTTTCAGTTTGAATAGGGTTAGCTTCACCTGCTGGTCATATATTTCCATTAGCTCATACAGCCAGATTGAAGAACCTTTGATAATTAAATTCCTTTAAATGTTCTCTCTAGTTCATCCATTCACCCGTAGCCATCTGTCATTTAGGTGAAGTAATTTGAGTGTTTTTCCTCTCTTTAGTCACACAGCAGTTTTTCTGTGAACCTCCTCTGAGGTACCAATGACTTCATCAGAGAAATAATCCAAGAGATGGCAGTTCTGTCATTCTGAACATACAGATGAAATAACCTATTGCTATTCGGGAACACTATGTTGGTGCTTTCCTGAGAAAATGAAATTGTGTTCTCACATCATCTACCCACCTTTCTAATCCAGGGACCAAGTTCAAACATGACACAGACCCAAAGATACCAAATGTAACTGAGTTTCTACAAGCTTTTGAAGAGCCAATGGCTACAAAGGTAAGGAGAAATGGTAAGAGAAATTCAAGACCAGGTTTCAGTGGTTCCAGCAATGATCAGCTGTTCCCTGGTGTGGCCTCAGCCATTCCACTCACAGCATCATCTAGAAAAACCTGGCACTGAAAGCACAGCTTTTCCACCTGCACTCTGTAGATGTTGATAGGGGGCCAAGATAAAGCAGAAGAGACCACTTCACTTGGGGCCACAGAGGCATCCTCTTCATTATGTGTCAGCCTTTATTGACAGTGTATATGTTTTCTCACAAAAATGCTAACAAAGCATGAAACAGCAAAGTTGAGAGACACTTCACAAGAAATACTGTTGCCCTAAAAGCATTGTAGTATCATTTTAATTTTCTAAATCATTGTGAGGTGCTAAGTCAAATGTCTTATCAAGTGTATTATATTCTAACAAGTATCTTCTATTAAAAACCTATAGTCTTACAAAAAGACATCATGTTAGTATGAAAGGATACATAAATATGTATTAATTGGCATTACTAACTGTAATACTTCCTATCAAGTTTTGCATGAGGCTTTCAAGTGATTAACTTAAGGTTCACCCAAAGGTGACTAACCCATACATGCCTAGGTCATGTTCTTTGCTCTCATTTCATAACCATCTTCTGAATTAATTACATCGCTTGGCTCTCTTCCAATGCAGAAACATACCACCTTTAATGTTCCTGCATTTTCAAAAATAAAAAGCCAGGTTGCGAGACTTTCTAAATTCTTCATCTTGTCTGATTCAGCTCAGAATTGCCTACAGCTTGTAGAACAAGATCTTTTAAGCACATGTATACACACAAATACATACAAAAAAACATTCATGTACTTTAGTGGTGTGGACTAGACTGTGTTTACACACATTTACTATCATTTAGTTAAGAATACATCTAGCTAAAAAAGCCCTCACTTCTAATTGTGATACTCCTTTATCTGTTGGGTTGAAAGTCAACACAGAGTTACTGGCTGCTGCACATAACAAATGCAGAAATTTCACATGTTCTTTTCTGATACCTAGTAATTATAAGGATATTTCAGGGCTAGAAAGATTTCACTGTGCATAACTTAGCTCAGTCTCTCTGTAAGAAAACTCAATTCCTTTCACAAGCTCTGAGCAACAGCATACAGAAATGGCAGATGCTCCTCATTCAGGATACCTGTATTGAACTTTGTATGACAGCACACTCACTGCACTCTTTTGCATTCAAGCTGATAGAGTCAGAAACTCAGTAATTTATTATTCTGTCCTACCAAAGCTACTGTTCCTCCTATCACTTTGGACATGTCATCCTTAGCAGATAATGACCATTCACTGCGTTTGACTTACCTTTTAAGCATATGGTCCATGCCACCAAACCCAACAAGAATAAATTTATTCTCACAGATGAGCAATTCCTCTTCCAAGCAGACAAATGTGCACCGGTCACCGTATTGTACACCTCACCTACACACTGGTTAGATCTTAACAAAACACTGCAAACCTGTTAACATGAGACTGTGGGCCATACAACCTGGTACAAGCAATAAGAACCCTCCTGGACCTGGGTGGGAAATGGTTCTGGAGACCACAAGTAGAATCTCAATCCAGTTTGCTGAAGGAGGCAAAAAAGTCTTATGTGCTGCACTTGTCAGCAGTTTGGCTAGAAATCTCCATGAAATCACACGAAGGCAAGAAGAAATCACTTAAGAGGAAAGGAATAAATACTACACAGACGGGCTCTGAAGTCAGCATAGCACTAATATTTTCCATTTGAGACATAGTTAGAAATCTGAGCTGCCCATGACTTCATCAAATTCCAGTATGGGGTAAAAGGGTTGCGGTGAAAACTGGCCAAAGGCCAAGAAAGCTTCACCATGGCCTCTTAGCAAGTTGACCACCAGTGCAGGAGACAAAGTCCCTCAGCAACATACAAAAAAGTAACAAGTAAAACAAGATTCAACTGCTCACCCACGTCCATTTCTCACATCTGGATGAAGAAAGAAATAACTGTAATTCCAGAAGTGCTAAAAGCACCTACACAAAGGAAACTCAGTAAGATCCCATAGAAAATGTTTTTATTAATGTCTTTCTGCCTTTGGAGATGCCTGCAATTCATCCAGCATTCCCAATAGAGATGCATGCTGATGGACTCAAGGGCAGACAGAACAATCTCATGATAGTCTTCTCCACCAAACTCTGAGGCTTAGACCTCTGTGTAATGAAGGGGGCACACCTAAGGAAAGGAGGTCAAAAGTGTCCTTCTTCAGTTTTTATACTCCTTCAGGTTGCAGACATCTTATGTGGTATCCAAGACATGAATGCAGACAAAAGTATTATTTGTTACCAGAGCTCAGATGTCCCAAAGCAAGATCTTCTGTTGGAAAAGCTGCTGAAGGACACAGCCCTGAAGAAGACCATTTCAACACTGCAATTAAGGAACAAGACAGATGTTTCATCCTTGTCTACCAGAAGAAAAGATGCCCTGGTAGTTAAAAGCATAAGCTAGGAGAATAATCTGACTCCTGGTTCTGCCACATGCTTTTTAAGCAACCTTGGGCAAGTTAATTCATTTCATTTTAGGCTTGTAGACACAGGCAATTTCCCAGCACTACATATTAGACTATGCAAGTCTGTGCAGCTTATCTCAAAAAAATCTTTCCTTTGCTCATTCTTTATCTTTTGCCCTCATCATCATTACATTAATGGAACAGACCTGAACACATAATTGTACATCCCTTTTATGAAAATAAAAAGTTACATCTGGTGTACTGTCAGGAGGTGAGGCAGCCACACCAAAGCTATGGGGAAAGTACAGTAACTAAGAGCTCACCAAAATAAAAAGTTCACAGCACTGTGGAATTAAAATTGACAGAAGATCAAAATCCATAAATGATTTTTGATCTGATTGGTAACAAGAAAATACAATAGAGAAAAAGGCAGGAAGTTCTCTACGCTAAATTAAATTCCATGATTTTTATTACTAGGATTGTATAAAATGCCCAGCAGAGAAACCTTTCCTGGATAATTCATCAGGTCTTGGCGGTTACTTTTAAGTAAGAATTTATTTTTAAGGGAAGGAAACAGTTAAAATACTTAGCAAGGAAGTGTGAAGGGAATTATATACAAAAAAATTATTTAACCAGGGAAGAGCCATTTCTACACAGGAGATCTTAATTCAACAAAATATAACTTTGAAGAAAAATCCAAGTTGAGGAATATGTGGAGAAAAAAAAAATACTGGAAATAAGAAATCTAATTTACTGGAAGTTTACACGGTGAATAATACCTACCTTAAGCACACAAAGCAATGCTTTCTTGTTCTGTAGTATTAATATCAGAGCAGAGACTGTAGATACAGTGAGCCTTTTAGCTCCGCAGGGCTAGATGTCTTACTTGTTTGTACATCAGGAGACTGTCTCAGTTTCTTACACATCCAGCTAATTGTTGCAGCTTTATTATCACCTACTGCTGCCCCCTCCCTGCACACCCTGTCAGGCTAGTGCTGTGAAAAGCAAAGCATTAAGATGGCTTCATGCATTCTGAAAGTTGGATGACATGATGTTTCTACTTGAACTGCTGTTGCCCTTCCCAGCTTCTTCCAGTTCCTCAGGAAAGCCTTCCTGATCCTCCTGCCATTGATCCAACAAGCTCTGCAACTCTCATGGCTTTAGGGTAGGGCACTTTGCAGGCTCCAGTACATACATAGCTAAAAAGCATGACATTTCTTAACACAGCACACCAGAAACATGAACTGAATATCAGTGCATTGCATGGCCCATTGTGGCAAGAAGAGATGGCCATGTGTCTCCCTCATACTGCAGACTGGCATGCCTAAAGCTGTGCGCTGAAATCTGGGTGCTGAACTCCTGCCTGCTCCTTAGAGCCCCACATAAAGCAACCTGCATTCTAGAGACAGACAGATGCAGGTCACGCTGCAGTTATTCCCTGTATCTGTGTCACAACACTCCTGTGAAACAACTCAGAGCACTGAAATGTTAACTCACTATTTAGAATCACCGTCCCACTCCACATGGCTAATTTTGATAGCATGGTTTTGATAATTTTAGCAAAATAAAAAGAGAAGCCTTTTAGGGAGAGGAAGGAGGAATACTCAAGGCTCCAGCTACAGCATCTTGCAGACGCTGTGGGTTAAGTACACATCTTCAACAGAAACGTCTACTGTGTAGGATGGCTGAAACTAAGGGTTGAGCAAGGAGACACTCCATCATAACTAGTCTGGGCCCTTATGGGATTTCCTTGATTGAATTTCACAGGATGCAGCCACTGCAAATGCCTCTTCATTACTCACGAAAGCAATCTAATGAGCTTCCCTACTTTGATTAGGGCTAACATTTGGTTTGGAGGACAGCTAATGGATAATACTATTTCCTGGAAAAAAATGTTGGCGTGGAAGGACATCTTGTCTTGATTAATGCTATTGAATAGTGAGGTCGTTCAGCAATCCTAGACCTAGCTTCCTGGCTCCCACTACCAAAACAAACAATTCCTACTGCTGAAAAGCATTTTGAGAAGTACTTAAAAGGAGCAAGTGGGTTAGACTTAGAAGTTGAAATACGGATGTACACAGAGCTCCACAATACTGAGAAATAAGTAATTACCTTTTATAAAATTAAGCCATTTTCATTTCCCTATGCTACCAAAAGCACATCCACTGTGAGCAAACAGATGTTGATGTGGTTATTTCACAGAGCTGCTGAAACAGACTCCAAGACAAGGCAGTTAAACAAAGGCCAAAACTACACCAACTCTCTCCTATGTATGAAAACAAGGTTCAGATTCTAACAACCACTTTCATTCCATTACAATGGCTGTGATTCAAGCCAGTATTAGCAAGGCACCAGTGATGTACTTCTGTAGCATTAATATGTCCCTTCTCATTACTCAATATAGCCTCTAGCCCTCTAGACATTATTCAAAATAGAACTTTCGCTCTGTATTAAAAGCCCTTGAAACCATTCACATAAAATATACATTTGCACATTAGTGACATGAAAGGTGCAATGTGAGCTTCGTAATTACAGGTAAAATGCAAAGCAAATCTTTTGTAAGTTGATACCAAAAGTGCAGTGGAGCCCAGGTGTACAGCAGTAACAGGGTCCACACAATGCTTCCAAGTAACAAGAGACCAGCGCAGGGTTGAAATAGACACTGCAAAACACCTGCAGTCTGTGCAGTTCAGCCTGTTGTCCTTCTCCCTGAGATACCCCTTTTAGTTCATTCTTAGTTCATTCTATTACCTTTTAATGTTAATCAGTTTTACAGTTCTTACCTGGTGTGTGCCTATATAATAAGCATATGCATTTAATTCAAACACATAAGAACATGAGATAAGATATATTCATATTTGTGAGACTGCAGGTTAATCTGCAATGTGAGTCACAATAAATAAAATATTTGCATGACATTTTTCTGAGCTATTGTGAAATACAAAGGAACATCTGTTGTGACAATCACAGTGATAATTTTATCCCCTAGTTTATCTGACATTTTTTCTGCTCCCCTCAAGCAGGGCCAGTATTGAATACTTCATCTAATGTGAATTTTTACAAAGAAAAACATGCACTGCAAAAGCAGGCAAAGGGAATTTTAGGTATGCACAATATGTGCATGTGGTAGGAATCATGAGGGGTAGAAAAATATCCAACTGTTATATGTCACATTGATAGAGACCTTCACCATCAAGTTGTTAAGGTGACTGTTTAGTGATTGTGCACACAACTTATATTATAGAACTAAATTTTGAACTCAGAAATGATTAGCAGCCAAAGTAAGTTTTTGTTGCTTTTAAAAACAATAATCCTGAAAAAATATAATACTATATGCAAGTCACGTAATGGAAGCCAATGGAGAAAGTCTTCATTTAGCCTGGAGCTATTATTTTTGAAGGTGCAACTGCAGTTTTCAATTCATTTCCATTGCTAGGGGCAGGATTCTCTTACCGGGTAGGGACGGGGACTTCTGTCAGAGCACCCAACATAACTGCCTGCTGCAGCCGGACGAAGGCAATGAAAGGACTGTCCAGGAAGTCTACCTCCCCAACCAGCACATTGGAGGCCTCAGCATCGCGGGGTAATTTCTTCATGAATTTATTCTTCAACTGCATTAGTAGAAGAGAAAGAAAAATAAAATGAAGGCTTGTTAGGCATGCAGATAGAAATGTGCAATGAAATTTATCGAATGTTCAGCCATGTTTCCATATTGGTCATAGGACCCAAACCTATTTATAAGTGTCATCCTCATTTGGCCTACTAGGATACAGGCACTGCTGCTTATAGTAGCCCTCTCCCCACCATTAATATAAAGTAGAAGCCAGGCCAGAGAAGCAGATGGCCATATTTGCATTCATGCCACTCTTTAAAAACTGAATATTTTTGCTATGAAAATCATCACCAGAAGAACAATCCTGCTACAGGTGCTTGTAGCCAAGCCAACACTGATAATATCAGGCTTCCTGAAGGTTGTTTATGGATAGTATTAGTTTGGGCAGAAAAAGGTGTGCAGCACTGAGAAAGATGAGTAGATGTGGGCAGAGTTTCAGGAAGAAGCACTGCATCAACTTGTTGCCTGGTCATCTGGGCAGAGGGCATGCACTTTCCACAAGTGAAAGTGCAGCATCAGGCTCTGCAGCTGCTGCTACAGAAATGACTGGCCTGACAAGAATAAAGCCTGAAGGGTGGACATCATTCCAGCTGGCCATGCCAGGAGCTGGGCACATGCATTTTATTGCATACAAGTTTTTTCAAGTTCCAAGTGAAAGACTTAACTTAGTGCGGGCTTTTAGAAGCAAGTTTCCTATGTCTGTGGCTTCTGCCCTATAGGTTTCCCAAAGCCGCTGCTTCCATTGCTGGTGCAGGCCAGCACACGAGGAGTCACTGGGCAAAAGGAGCAAGTATGCTGGTTTTGAAACAACTCTAACAACCTCAGTCAACGTCTAGGTGAGAAACTGGCTTGTTACTATTTCCCACATCATCACCCGAGCCCACAGCCCTCACCACAGGTTTCTGTGGTCAGAAGGGGTACAGAGGAGAACGTACTGTTGTTAGAGAACCCTGACCAGGAGAAACTCCTTTTTCTATCCTTGTAAGATGAGATGCAGGACTGATGCTACATCCCTCATCTCCAGAAGAGCTGAAAGGAAGCGAAAGCCTTGGGAAGAAACAAAGTGAGAAAGGGCATCCACAGAGAAGAGGGAAATCAGAGCGAGTTTCAGAAAAAAAGAAAAGCATCAGGCCTGGAAGGAGGAGCCAGGTTAGACGTGAGAGAAATGAGAAGGTGGATTATTGCACACACAAAACTCAAATGTATATAGACTCCAAACACTGAAAGGATGATGAAAAACTGGGATTCATCATGCAACTAAAAGACCTCTCATGCTTCCACCATCAACTGAACACTCGCTGTTTCACGATCAAGTTGCCACAGCTGTTATTTTATCCACAGGAGTTGCCACAGCAACTCCTAACTTGATCTCACTCTTTTCTCTGTCTCATAATATCTTTCTGTCAGAGAGTTTTTAAAAGCCTTGCCCAGAAATAAAAGCAGAGTTAATATCTGGAGTAAAGGCATACCACTGCACGAACTGTTGGAAAATCAGTGTGACCCACTGGTGAAGTACAGAAATCCACTTCAGCAGAGCCACCTACAATTCACAGCAAGCAGCTCTCACAACACAATTTGGCATCACAACTCTTATGAGCCCCAAAATACATGCTGAGTGATGGTTTCAATATTTATAAAGTAGAAAACCTTAAACAAGCAAGAAAAAAATAGGGCATATGGTAATTCACCAACAGAATCCTTGTAATTTTAAATTGATGCTGTCAATTATTCACCACTGGATAACATACCCTGTAGAAGAACGAGCAAATGACAAAATGCTCAGGGATGCACTTAGTAAAATCTGACAAGGAATCCTGGTAGTCACCATCTGAGAACTTCTTTGTACAATTTGACAAGACCTTGCTGAACCAGGAATTGTCTATGGGGTGAAAAAGCAAGTGTCCTCTCTAAATGACCACAATATCTGCCACCTTGGACATACACCTGAACAAAGACTTCCAGGAGAAAACTCCAAGGACCAGCAGCTGGGAAGGATGCTGTTCCTCAGCCTCCCTTCTATAGGAAGCATATTGGAGAGCAGTAGAGATTCACCCCCTCGCCCAGGCCATCAAAGCAAGATGCTTCTAAACAGCCTTCACCAACCTCAATAGAAGCTTTTCCTGATGACTAACATGACTTCTCATTTTCCTGGGAGAGCAAAGTTTGAAAGTACAGAGAGAGTGACTTGCTGATTCTTTGAAAAATGGTACTTCCCCTTTTCCCTTTCATTTCTGGGCGAGGATAAAATATGAGAGCAACACTATGCTTTTCTGAGAGCAAGGCCCTGTGTGATGCATGCAGCACAAGAATAAAAGACTTAAGATCTCTACCTGCTTTGTTCAAGGCATAGAAAGGAACAAAACCAGCTAGCAGGCTTACTCTGATTAATGGTTTATTCCCAGAGGCTTAGATTACCCCTTATAAAGGATGGGAAGGAATAAGCAGAATAAAAGATAAAAATCATCACAGGAAAAACATAGATTCTTCAAAAATACAAGCTGGTAATTAGAGAAGATAGTATATGATGAACTCACAAATTTCAGTAACTATTTTGCTGCAGAATAAATTGAACTATGAGACTAAAATTACTATCCAATCACCCTATTGATCTGTTTTACTCAGATTATTTCAACTTGTGCTTCCCATGATGCCTTTCTAGCATTATTCTTTTATTTTTCAATAATCTTTGACTGTTCCTTTTTCCTCAGTAACGCAAGCCCAAGTTATCTTCGCCTTTTCTCTTTTCTTTTCTCTTTTCTTTCCTCTTCCCTTCTTTTCCTGCCTAGCCCAGCTTTTGGGAGGGAGTTACTTTTTCTAGTCTTCTTTCACTCTCTTCCTCACACATATTAAAGTAACAGAAAATTCTATTTATCCACAAAATTATCTTTGCCAAATTCTTCATTAACAACAACAGAAGTGTCAGAAACATGACAAAAGGAGCTGGTGAAAGCACCATAAATAGACAACCAGTGCAACTGCACTGCTCATCTTCAAGCTTTGTAGCTTTGTCATACTCAACATCTAGACACTAGCTTAAAAAAAAAAAGCAGCATCATATTTTTATTTTTTCCAAACAAGACAAGAGGTTGTATATCAAAGCAAATAACCCAAAAGCAATACCTCCTGTTTTACTATGTGGGCTCACAACATTAGAGGTGGATGTTGGTGGTATGGCACTAGAGGTTGCATGTTCGCATCAATATTCCTTTATACCTCTGTTGCCATGTAAGAGATGGCAGCAGAGAGGCAGTCTGACAGAATGGCATCTACATGGAAGCATGTATGGAATAAAGGTGTGTCACTGAATTCCTCACTGTGGAAAAAATGGCATCCATTAACATTCATTGACACTTGCTGAACATTGATGGAGATCAACCTGTGGATGTGAGCACAGTGAGGCAGTGGGTGGTGCGTTTCAGCAGTGAGGACATCAACAGTGGGTGCACAGCTTACAGGCTCTTGTTCATCACTGGTAAAAAATACATAGCAGATGGTGCTGATTACATTGAACAGTTGTGTTTTGTAGCTGAGAATTTGCTCTATCAAACAGTCTTATTGTGCTCTTTGTTGTTGCTGTCATTTCCATGGAAATAAACAGGAGGAATTACTTTCAGAGTGACCTGTATATTAACTACAGTATATCACATTAAAAAAGTATTTAATAGAACTTCCCATACAATTTTGCTACCTGAGTAATAAGAAAAACATATGGGAATACATTTTACATCATATTTAGAGTTTAACTGTTCATTCCTGGCAAGCCCAATGTTAACTGCGACTCCCACCTCTTCCAACATGATTACCCTGGATGACAAAGTCACCATCAACAGTAGGTCAGCTAAAGCATCTTGTCAATGCATAGCAGAAATAAGTTCAGTCTGTTTGATCTGGAGGCACCTACTCTAGTCCCTCCACTAGGATCCATGTGTAACCATAATCGGAGAAAAAAGTGCTCTGACACTACAGATCTTCCCCTCCTTTCTCTATCAAAATAAAGCTGAACATGAAACAGCTGTCATATTGTGTGTGGATATTCCACCAAGCAAACAACTTCAAATAAAATACAATGAAGACATGTTTTCTGACTTGACAAGGGAGACCAAAAATAATTCTGCTCCTTTACAACCTGTGAGAGTATTAAAGCAGGCTTCTATGGTCCTGTCTACTTCCTGAACAAGCAACAGGAAAGCCTCAAGCCTGGGAGCAGTCCCAGAAGAACTAACATGAGGTCAATCCACCAGTAAGGAAAGCAGTTGTATAGCAGTTATAGAAACGCATCAAAGCACCTGCTGTGTTATTTAACAGTGAGGGTCAAAACTGTAGAAAATTCAAAGTTTGGAAGAGGACTTAGAAAGATTCATTCACTTCCAGCAATCCTTCTCAAAGCATCCAAATGTTATATGAGGTCTAATTCTGCAGGATTAGGTCTAAGCACCAGAAGAAATCTACTGACTGGCATTACTCTCATCAGCTAGATGCCAGAGTTGCTCTCGTTTGTGTCTCTTCTCAAAATATAGCTATAACTTTACACTAAAAATAGTTGCTTATAGCCTGAAGGTTATGCTCATCTCTGCACCTACATACTATAATTGTGCCACAACAGGCATGAGCAAGCTCAGTGTGCTGCAACATGCATCCCCTAGTTGACAAAATATTAACTAAGTCCAGCTGAGGAAAAATGTCAGCTGCTTATTTGATAATGGGCAAACACAGCACCAGCAGTATTTTAAACATCAGCCTCTCCTGGCTCTTTTCTGGCATCACCCTGGCACTTGAAATCTGAGCAGAGGCCACAGCCTGGCCTGAGTTTGCCAGGAGAACGGGATTTCTGAATGTGCTCAGCTCCGAGATGGCTTTGTTTGCAACTGTCTGCTTCAGCAACAGCAGAATTAATTTGAAGTTGAAGGCCTCTGAAAATCCTGCTTTTAGCTGATTCCCTCAAAAGCCCCTCACCCAGGGTGATCTCTGGAAATACTGCTTGTCTGACTAGCAGTAAAT